CTTTGTTTCACTTCCACATCTGGCGCCTGGTCAGATGTTTCACTAATCGGCACCCTGTGGGAGGAGCCGTCTGAATTTGAGATCCTGGCAGTCTTTTTTGTTCTGGCCATCATGTTCTGCATAGACACAGATACAGTCGGACTTTGTATAAAGGGAAAAGATGGGTCCAGAAAAGGGCAGGCGGCACTCCTAGTCCTAGATTCAGCCGTCCCCGGTGACCGGATGATCACTAACCTAGGTCGTGTCGTGTGCTTCCGTGGTGCCATTTCAAAAAAGAATAAAATAAAGAGAAAATTAAGAGTAAGAGAACCGACGGTTACCTGAACGAGTGACGATTGATGAAGTTCTAAAAATCCTTTGCAGTCGGCTTGTCACAGCAGGCGGTAGGCAGAAAGGGTCCAAAATGTCAGAGCAAGTTCAGGGGACCGAATGTTCTCTCACAAAGTTCTCAAGTGGGAAAATGACCGAAGTCAACACTCCTTTATATAGGCGAAGTGAGAAGGCGAAGGGTCACTTCCAGAATTCAAAATTTTGGCGGGAGAATCTCTCGGCCTCTCGCCGAGTGACACCTGTAGCAGGCCGTCGCCTGTTACAGGGCGATACCTGTCACAGGTAACACGTGACCAGTCACGTGCCACATGTGAGGGGCAAATGATTAGGGGATTTTTCCCCACCAATCACCATCTGACAAGTGGACCAATCAGGTTCCGCCATGTGTCCGTCACATGGGCCAATAGGAGCCTGCCACGTGTCAAGCAATGATCCGTCCACCATGGACCAATTACGACACGACACGTGTCCTTCCCATGACACCTGGGATAACCAGTCACCTAGGCCCAACTCCCGAGGGAAGCCCAATCAGCCCAAGGTTAACCTAAACCTAGATTGGCACGTTTCCCGAGGTTATAAATACCTCCCTTAATCCTCATTAAGGGAGATTACATGCTGAACATGCTAAAAAGCAGATTACATACATTAAACACTCTCACCTAGAGAGACCCAATCACTTTAATTTCCGCATTAATTACTCCTTAATCAAGTACTAACTTGACCGTTGGAGGCGGAGCTCCCACCACAAGGAGTCTCCGTTGTTTTGCAGGTACAGGCGTCCGGTTCCAGTCTCGGAATTGTAACTCTCCCGCAGGACATCAGAAAACCCCGAAACATCAATCAAGAAGGAAAGTAAAGTGATGAAGTCATACTTTTTAACAACCTTAAAGAAAGAGACATGCAACCATGAAGTATATGATTACATGTCTATATCATGAAGTATTAATTACAAATAATGTCAATTTTTGCAAATTCACCACTATTGGTTATTTTGGGATTTACCTAGGCTAGCAAGTTGTAATGCCTAACATTTTCTAGAAGAACTTTCTTTTTAAAACCAATATCTTTTATCCCATACAAATATTAAGCAAAAAGTTAAAAGTAAATTTAATTAAATTGTTGAGCAGAGGACGTTTGTTTCATTCAATTATTAATCTTTTTTTTTTTTTGTTTTTTTTGGACACAAACATTCAACTATTAATCTTATCTATGAGGTTTAACTTTTTAAAAATAATTTTATTAGTTTAATACTATTTTTTAATAAATTATTAGTAGAAAGTATGAATTTAGTTAGCTTTACAAAATTAATACTCCACGTTATAACTTGTACTCCATATTACATAAGTTTAGTAAAATCAAGTATAGAAAATTTAATTTCTAAGTATTTGTAAGTCAAGTTTGCATCTTACAATCAAGAGGTTGTGGGATCAAACCCCACTAAAGACACTTTAGGGATGGGGATTCCCTAACCCTCCCCCCCACTTTTAAATTGTCTAGTCCGTTAATCAGGATCGGAAGAGGTTTCTGTTTGATAGGGCCCTTGTCCTTATCAACAAAAAAAAAAAAAAAAAAAAAAAAAAAAAAGCCTTTTCGTTCAAACACTAATGGGCTTTGGGCCCTACATTTTGATCAAATGCAAAATGTGGCATTGACATTATTCAGACCCAAAAAGGGGTGATCGAACAGTATAATTGGGCTTTTTGGCCCACCAAGATATGATTGGATTAGTTGAAAAAACTACAAGGTCAATTAGTTTCGTAAATTAGATTGTACACCCAACTACCCAAGTGCGCTTTTTCGTTGACAATTTAAACTAATTTCTTAACTCTTTTGTTCAGGGCTTAGGTCTTTTAACCATGACACAATACGTTCCAAGTCTTAAACCCTGCAGTACAACCCCAAATACATGTGATCATGCTAGCAAGGTTCACGAGGTAGTCTTCTTCATAGCGGCCTACCTCGTGGCGCTAGCAACGGGTGGTCATAAACCGTGCTTGGAGAGTTTCGGGGCTGACCAATTCGATGACAATCATTCGGAAGAAAGGAAGCAAAAGATGTCATTTTTCAACTGGTGGAATGTTGCACTTTGTAGTGGCCTCTTCTTTGGTGTAACTTTGATTGTGTACTTGCAAGACAACTTTGGTTGGGGTGTTGGATTTTTTATACAAACAATAACTATGGGAGCTTCTGTCTTGGTATTTGTTCTTGGGAGGCCATTTTACCGTTATAGGAGTGCCCGTGGTAGTCCCTTAACCCCGCTGTTACAAGTCTTTGTCGCTGCAATAACAAAGCGAAATCTTCATTGTCCTTCGGATTCTTCCATGTTATATGAGCTTACTAATTCGGAGAAGCTCGAAGGACGACGTTTAGGTCACACAGATAGGCTCAGGTAAATAAAAGATTCAGGAGAATTCGCGCTAGTTGTACTTAATTGTGTACTAGCTGTACTATTTTCTTAAATCTCATTTTGATTTTAATATTCATGAATTGAATTGTATTTTTTATTGCAGACTCCTTGACAAAGCTGCTATAATTGAAGATGGTGAATATAATGGAGCAACTAGGAAAAATCAAAGTCCATGGAGGCTAGCAACCGTGACACAAGTAGAGGAACTAAAGCTCATAATAAACATGGTTCCTATATGGCTAAATTGTTTGGTGTTTGGCATAGGCATTGCACAAGGGTCCACATTCTTCATCAAGCAAGGAAGCGCGATGGATAGGAGAGTCTTCAAACACTTTGAAATCCCACCGGCTTCAGTGTACACCCTAACGGCCCTAGGGATGATTGCCTCAGTTTCCTTCTACGACAAGGTCCTCCTACCATACTTAAGGAGAGCCACTGGCAATGAGAGAGGCATCAACATTCTTACAAGAATCGGTATTGGTATGGTCATCTTAATCATATCAATGATGATCTCGGCCTTAGTGGAGAGGAAAAGACTAAAGATGGCATTGCAAGGGAAAATGATGAACGTATTTTGGCTTGCTCCACAATTCTTGCTAATTGGTATAGGGGACGGGTTTTCCCTAGTAGGAATGCAAGAATATTTCTATGACCAAGTTCCTGACTCGATGAGGAGCTTAGGGTTGGCATTTTACCTTAGTGTTATCGGTGTAGGGAGCTTTCTTAGTACGTTTTTAATCAATATTGTGGACTATGTGACAGGGCTGAAAGGCGGTAAGGGTTGGATAGGCAAGGATTTGAACCATAGTCGTCTTGATTATTTTTACTGGCTATTGATGATCATGGTTGTGTTGAACATGTGTGTTTTCGTGTTTTTGGCCAAGAATTATAAGTACAAAACTGTTCACAGAAGTACGGCTGTAGGTGATTCTTGTAATGGTGAGAAGACAGAGGAGATGGCTAGTGTTTAAAAACATGAGTAAACTGAGTATACTGCTGGCACTGAGATTTTTAGTACGTACTCAGATAATGTAGTAAGTATATATGAAGTAGAATTTTTATCTCTCCATATTTCTATACACATTTAGTAATTTGCTCCACTTTTATCGATTGTTTTTCTTAATTTTCAATGGTACAGTTCATGTTTCAGATGTTGAGTTGTGCACTTATAATTGGCAAATAATTTGGGAAGGGCTCTTTTTTTTTTTTTTTTTTTCATCTTATTTAATTAATTTTATGTAAAAAAATAAGTTTTAATAAAAAAAATCGGTAACTTTAAAAAACAAATAACCAAGTACAGTAGTACGGGCAGAGTGTATGGTTAAATTTTCTATCAGCCTTCAAAAGTAAACGATACCTAATGTGTTTACTTTTAATGAACGTGAATCTCATTGTATGAGATTTTTAATTCTTTATTAAGATGAGGATTGCTTGGATGGTTGACTAAGCAACCTTGCTTGATCTAATTATTGCATCAAGCTAGAGTCTACTACCAAGTACCAACCTCCGTCTCAATCAAATATGTAATCACTTTCAGCCATGCATTATCTTTTCACCGACGATAAATTTTCAAATATATATTGCTAGATTCAATTCGACTTAATGAAATATAAGACAATTGCACCCAATATAATTAACTATAAAATCACTTCGAAAAAATTAATTAACTATATATAATATAATTTTGTTGTTCAAATGATTATCTTTAGAGTATTAATGTATTATCATATCCAAATCACATTGTCATATAAATCACATATGGCGTTAGAAAATCCAGAGTAGTGCGAATCATATCTTCTAACATACTTCCTCACTTTGTTTTTATTCGCAACGTTGGAGATTTCACGCTTGTCAATAATGTACGTTTATAACTAATATTAATATCTTAAATTATACTTCCTCCGTTCTTTTTTACTTGACCCGCTTTGACTTTTACACTATTCATCACCCTTCCTTTGACCGTCTTTTGTGACTAATATGTAAGGAAAAACATATTCATGTGAGATCTTTTTGAATTCGTCTCAATAAATACTATCATAATATATAACTTTAATAATTTTTACTTATAGAGAATTAAAGTTATTGATCGTTTAAGTTTTGCATTGACAAGCGTGATAAAAGAAACAGGTCAAATAAAAAAGAACGGAGAAAGTAGTTTATTAATATAAAACTATAACATGTTGATATTTTGAAATTATATTTCAATACGAATCTTATAAGTATCACACAACATTCAGCATAATAATATATGTAAACGCAAATCCGCACGTCTAAGAATTAGATAATAGACATACAATACATGGGTTTGCGGGTTAATATATAGCGGAGCAATTGGGGTATCGATTACTTATCCACTTACCTATTATTTCCTTAATTTTGTGTATAATGATGGAAGGAATAGGAACAGAAACACATGATGAAACACAGAGAGAAATAGGTGAGTTTACAAAGAAAATTGATGAAAATGTCACAAACTTACAAGTTCACGACTCGTCTTTGGATTACAAAGGAAAGCTTCCTCTTCGAGCTTCGACTGGCTCATGGAAAGCATCCTTCTTTATCATAGGTAACATTATTCTAGTATTCTGCTTCTCATTTTTTTTTTGGACAAGCAAGTATTTATTACGAGCGATGATGTTGTATCATCAATCATGTTTCATGTGTTATATTTAAGTAATTCGTAATATACTAGTACATACTATGAAAGTTATTTCCGAACATATATAAAGGTATGTTTTAGAGGCTTAAATTAAAATTCTATATGAAATATGCAGCAATAGAGTTTAGTGAGAGGCTAAGTAACTTTGGAATAGCAACAAATATGATAACGTACATGACCAAAGTGATGCACCAAGACTTGGAAACGGCGGTCAACAGTGTGAATTTATGGGCCGGAGTTTGTACTGTTATGCCTTTGCTTGGTGGGTTCCTTGCTGATGCATATACCGGTCACTACTTCATGATTCTTTTCTCCGCCATCCTCTATGCTCTTGTAAGACTTCTCGAAATTTTCACATACAATCGTTGTAAATGATAGCTGGTACGTACAATAATACAATGCTTTAATTTTCAACCAATTAGAAAAATTTTACAAAATTTCATGCCATATTAATTTGTAACACTTATTGGATTTTACAACCTTCTCGATGCTTCTCTATACTTTTTTCTTAACACTTTGTTTTATAGAATGTTTGTGTTTGATTCTTTGCACCGTCATATGTATTCAGGGTTTAGGTGTTTGGACCATGTCACAATATGTTCCTAGCCTTAAACCTTGCGGTGCAACCTTGACTACATGCGAGCATGTTACCAAGGTCCATGAGTTGGTATACTTTTTAGCGGCCTATCTTGTGGCCCTAGCAGCAGGAGGCTACAAGCCATGCTTAGAGAGCTTTGGGGCGGACCAATTTGATGACAACCATACGAAAGAACGAAAGCAAAAGATGTCGTTTTTCAACTGGTGGAGCATTGCTCTTTGCACCGGCCTATTATTTGGAGTGACTTTGATTGTGTATGTACAAGACTACGTAAGTTGGGGACTTGGATTTCTAATCCTAGCCATAACTATGGGATTTAGTGTCTTAATTTTTGTTCTTGGAAGGCCCTTTTATCGTTACAAGGCCGCTCTTGGAAGTCCCTTGACCCCATTGTTGCAAGTTTTAGTTGCTGCCGTGGCCAAAAGAAATTTAGCTTGTCCTTCTAATCCATCCTTGTTGTATGAGACGCCGGATTCAGGGAAGCTCCAAGGCCGGCGTTTGGGTCATACAAATAGGCTCAGGTAAATAAACGGTCCAACACCTCTCCATATGTATCATGTTGGCTAGTTAGGCCATTTTTATTGTTTATACTCCCTCCGTCCCAGAATAACTGGGACATTGGTCATTTTTTCACTATTCATATATCAACTTTGACTATTCTCTTTACCTAACCTAAAAAAAAACATATTTTATCATAAAATGTGTTGTTAGATAGATATTGATATAAGTTTCATAATACGTAGTATAACTTTTTAAATAATTTTCGTTAATATTTAATTATGCAAAAATAAGGTCACACTAGTGCATTGACATGTGTGCAAAGTTTGACTGCGTCAGTCATTCTGGGACAAAATAAAGTAATTATTTTATACAAAAATTGTGCATTTATCTCATATACCAGATTTTTTGACAAAGCTGCAATCATCGAAAATCATGAAAGTAAAGGAGTAGCCACGAAGAAACAAAGTCCATGGAGGCTAGCAACCGTGACACGAGTGGAGGAATTGAAATTATTAATAACCATGGTTCCCATATGGCTAACTTCCCTAGTGTTCGGCATAGGCATTGCCCAAGGTGGCACATTTTTCGTTAAACAAGGGAGTTCAATGAATAAGAACATAATCAAAGACTTCGAAATCCCAGCAGCTTCTATGAATGCCCTAATAGCCCTAGGGATGATTGTCACAATTTCTTTTTACGACAAGGTCCTTCTCCCATACTTAAGACGAGTCACAAACAATGAGAGAGGCATCAACATCCTTACAAGAGTTGGTATTGGCATGGTCTTGTTAATCATTGCATTTATGATATCGGCCTTGGTTGAAAGGGAAAGGTTAAAGGCGTCACTAGAAGGGAAAATAATGAACATGTTTTGGCTAGCTCCTCAATACTTAATCCTTGGTATAGGAGACGGGTTTTCTCTAGTAGGATTGCAAGAATACTTTTATGAACAAGTTCCTGACTCTATGAGGAGCTTAGGAATGGCGTTTTTCCTAAGTATTATCGGCTTTGGGAGCTTCCTTACTAGCTTTTTAATCATCATTGTAAATAGCTTGACAAAGATGCATGGAGGAAAGGGATGGATAGGCAAGGATTTGAACCATAGTCATCTTGATTATTTTTACTGGCTCTTGATGACCATTTTTGTATTAAATATGTGTGTATTTGTGCTATTGTCTAAGAATTATAGGTACAAAAGTGTTCAGAGAAGTGTGGTTATAGTAGATAATTCTTGTGATGGTGAGAATAAAATGGAGCCGGGTTGTGTATAAAGAGAGCTTAATAAAAGTGACGTTGAATTATTGTTTGTTCATCATGAATTTTATTGGTACTAAAAAAGCATTATACCAACCAATCAAGTAGAATTTGGTCTAATAAAAAGGATTGTTATTGTGGGATCAATTTCCACTAGAGGCAACTATCCCTTACTTTCAATGGGCTTTTCTCGATGAGTGTCAGAGGCTCCGGTCCGCTATTCTGTAATCACAACAATTTTTATTTATTTATTTATTTTTTAATTTTTTATAGGAACATCAATAATTTATTTATTTGACATAAGCTAATAATAACAAGACAATAACACTACTGAATTGTAAAATTGGAAATTTTGATTAGAAGGCTCACAAATCGTACAAGCGGTTGACAATATTTTAATGCAAACAAAATAGACATAAAATAATAAAGAACACATGAAAACTTCCTCTTTGCCATAGAGAAGTAAAATTAATTACCAATTTGCCCCAAACTTCAATCAATGTGTAACATGAAAAAACAAGGCTTTCAAGATCTCTCAATTCAAGCCTAAGTTGGTTTAACACTCTAATATGTATGCATAATTTTTTTTCTTTTATTTAGATCTAATTATGTTATTAGACTTGATGGCCTAAACATGTATATATATTATGTAGGTCTTATATATTATTCATATCACAATAGGAGAAGATATGTAGGTGTTCAAAATAGTTGAGTAAAATTCTGCGACTTTGCTCGAATAACACTTGCACATGCATGCAAGAGCAGCCTAGTTGCATGGGCGTACGTGTTTCCATCTTTCCTGGCTTCTTTTGCTTACTCTCATAGTCAGATCGATCACTCAACCCCAAGTCAGCATCATCATGCAATGAGACCTCTTTTAATAACTCGTGATGATCATCATCGTATGTTGTGTTGAGCATGTGTGTTTTCGGCCAAGAATTAGGCCTTGTTATGATCACCTTATTTTCACTTATTCTAGTAAAATTACGTTTTCCTACAGGGGTAAACAACACTAATTTCTTCTTGGTCAAAGCATAGGTAGGCATCTAGAATATAATGCACAGCTAACTAATACCCTAATTATGTAATAATCAAACTAGTATAAAATAATACTGGCAGATTATATGCTGATTCCTATATATATCAATTTTCATAAGTAAACGAAACCAAATGAATATACATTTTCTGATCGTGAAGCTCATTATGAGAAAACGATACGAATATTATTAATTATAAGAATACCTGAAGTCTATGTTTAGACCAAGATTAAGTACTAATAAACCCTATCTAAATTATAATCTATTGCACCCAACCGACCTCCATCTCAATCGATCAATAATTTGGAGTATGTAACAATTATATTTTTCAGCAATAAAAAGGTATTAAATATTTTGAAAAAACTTAAATCTTTTTATATTTGCTTAATTACACTAAAGGAAAACCAAGACTACCCTTTGTTGGGCCGGGGTTGTCCATCCCAAGTACCACATGAAAGAAATATGGAAGAGGAGACTTTATTATAAGTGGAAGCATACTCCAATCCATTAGTTTGAGGTTTTTTAAGAAGGTGACTACAAACAAATCTATACGGGTTTAAAATAATTTAAGTCAGCAAAAATATACAGTGAAGTGAATAGTGCCTAATTTAGTGTGTGTGCGGCCCAACGCCCTTGTCATGACCAGCCTAACACAATAAAAATAAAACTAAAAAATCAGAGGCTAATGCAGACATGTTCTCAGCATAATTATATTTTTAACATTTATAGTAACGGTAATGATACATTTTAAATAGTATGATACCTTACTGATGAACAATAAGGTTATTTATACTAGACCTGGCAATCCTGACCAGACCCGATGACCCGACCCGACCCATGACCCAAAATTGACCCAAAACATTGTCCCGAAAATGACCCGAAATCCGAAATTGACCCGACCCATACCCGACCCGAAAATGGAATTGACCCGATCCTGATCTGACACCTGAATTGACCCGACCCAAAATTGACCCGAACAGACCCTTTACCCGAAATGTCCCGAACTAAAATTACCTTATAATTGAATTTAAAATGTCTTGTACCAAAAGTAACTCAAATTGTTCATCTTCAACCGTAGCTAAGTTCATAAACTAAATTGATAGTTTTTATTATAACAATAACAAAATATATACTCTGTATAAAATTATTCATTTGAGCTTGATTCACAAATGAAACAATCCGAACATGACTCGACCAGATTTTTTGACTTGACCCGAATATGACCCAAACATACTTGACCCGATACCTGACCCAAAGTTGACCCGAAACCTGAATCAACCCGACCTGACCCATACCCAACCCAAATGTTAGCTGACTCGAAATGACCTGACCCGAAAGTGACCCGACCCAGACCCGACCCGAATGACCCATTTGCCAGGTCTATTTTATACAGCGCTAGTATCAATTAAAACCATTATTTCCATAATTTTGCACTAAAAATGGAGGGAAGAGGAGATATACATGATGAAACACAGAGAGAAAAAGGCGACGACTTCAGAATCCCAAAAGAAAAAATCGATGAAAATGGCATGGAATTACATGTTCATGACTCAACTCTGGATTACAAAGGAAAGCTTCCTATTCGAGCTTCCACCGGTTCTTGGAAAGCATCCTACTTCATGATAGGTAGTGCTTCCTTTTGCTATACTAAGCTAGTAGTTTCAAGTTAATTCTCCTTCCGTTATTCACCTATATGTGACTATTGATTCCGGACAAGTATGTAAAATTTTGTACAATAATTTGGTTGAAAAAAAAAATTTGTATATGCAGGAATTGAGTTCAGCGAGAGGATGAGTCACTTTACAATATTAACAAATATGATAACTTATATGACTGATGTGATGCACCAAGACCTCGAAACAGCGGCTAACAATGTGAATATATGGGGTGGAGTAGTTACTGTCACGCCTATGCTTGGTGGCTTTCTTGCGGATGCTTATACCGGTGGCTACTTCATGATTCTTTTCGCCGCCATCCTCTACGCTTTGGCAAGACTTCTTTCTTAGTTTCTCTCTAACTTCCTTTCATTTCATTTTTTGTTGTAATATTTTGATTGGATGTATATTTATAAATTATAGGACTTTTTGTCAAAAACTACCTAATAAAACCCAGATTTTGTGAGAAACTAGCTAATAAAAAAAATGTTGTAATGAGCTATCTAATAAAGGTAAAATGTTGTATAAAACTACCTAAGAAAAGGTAAAATGTTTTAAATTACTACATATACCGGATTCCACCGTTAACCAACCTCAAAACAATCTCGAAACCACCGCTTTCATTCCTAAAACTAACACAACTTGCTTGAAATCGTCTCCACCACACCTAAACCACCTTTCAACCCCAAAACCACCACCTCTAACCCCCAAAAACCACCATCCGGATTAAGCACTAATTAATCTACCCTCACCAACTCTAAATATCCTCCAATCACCCCGAAAATAACCTTACCACCTTGAAAACCAACCCTCACGGTGATTTGGGGGTGTTTTAAGGTGGATCAACGTTGTAAAATTAAGTCAACAGTGGAAATTCGGTCAAAGGTAGTATCTTATAACATTTTACCTTTTATTAGGTAATTTCTTACAACATTTTTTTATTAGGTAGTTTCTCACAAAATTAGGTTTTATACGATAGTTTCTCACAAAAAGTCCTAAATTGTAATATAGGTCCTAAGTCTTGACAAGAAAATATTTCTTACTATTGGAAATAACAAGAAGCACTATCCTATTTCTATTCAGGGTTTAGGTGTTTTGACCATGTCTCAATACATTCCAAGCCTTAAACCTTGTGACGCAACCTCGACAACATGTGACCGTATTACCAAAGTACACGAGTTAGTCTTCTATCTAGGTATCTACCTCGTGGCCTTAGCAACAGGGGGTCACAAGCCGTGCACGGAGAGCTTTGGGGCGGACCAATTCGATTACAATCATACAGAAGAGAGGATACAAAAGATATCGTTTTTCAACTGGTGGAACATCTCCATTTGTGGGGGTTACTTCATAGGAGTGACTGTGATTGTGTATGTGCAGGACAATGTAAGTTGGGCACTTGGATTTTTAATCCTAGCCATAGTAATGGGAGTGAGTGTCTTAGTGTTTTTTCTTGGAAGGCCTTATTATCGATACAAGACCGCTCTTGGAAGTCCCTTGACCCCGTTGTTGCAAGTCCTGGTTGCGGCTGTAGCCAAGAGAAATCTAGTTTGTCCTTCGAATCCATCCTTGTTGTACGAGGATCCTAATTCAAGGAAGCTCCAAGGCCAGTGTTTGGATCATACGAATAGACTCAGGTAAATGTTGTTGAACCCCAGGCCTTTAGGCCATACCGCCTTTTTATAATCCTCCGTTCTATACTAGTTGCTACGTGTTAGAGTGACACAACTTTTTTTTTTTTAAATTTAAGAGATCATCTGAAAAGTAGAGAAATACAGAGGGATAACACGTAAGAGGGATCATGCGACAAGGAGACAAATAAAATACCTTACCAAAAATGGATATGTAACAACTAATATAAAATTTTCCAATTGAGAAATATAGCTAGCAATTAATAGAGTAACTGAAGAAAACAAGATAGATCGAGAAGTTAATTTACTCTTCATACCGTTATAATGCAATTCATCAATCTATCTCCTTGTATGCAATGCAGATTTCTTGACAAAGCTGCTATAATCGAAAATCATGAAAGTAATGGAGCAGCAGTGAAGAAACAAAGTCCATGGAGGCTAGCAACCGTGACACAAGTGGAGGAACTAAAGTTGATAGTAACGATGATTCCCATATGGCTAAATTCCTTGGTGTTCGGCATAGGTGTAGCCCAAGGCCCTTCATTCTTTGTCAAGCAAGGGAGTGCAATGAATAGGAAAATTTACAAAGAATTCGAAATCCCAGCAGCTTCCATGACCGCCTTTATAGCCCTAGGGTTGATTATTACAGTTGCCTTATACGACAAGGTCCTTGTCCCATACTTGAGGAGAGTCATAGGCAACAACGAGAGAGGTATTAACATCCTTACAAGAATCAGCGTTGGCATGGTCGCCTTAACCATATCAATATTGATATCGGCCTTGGTTGAGAAGAAAAGGCTAAAGGCGTCACTAGAAGGAAAAATAATGAACATATTTTGGCTAACGCCTCAATTTTTTATCCTCGGAGTAGGGGACGGGCTTTCCCTAGTAGGAATGCAAGAATACTTCTATGAACAAGTTCCTAACTCAATGAGGAGCATAGGAATGGCATTTTACCTTAGTGTTATTGGTATTGGGAGCTTTCTTAATAGTTTCTTGATTATTATCGTGAATCATGCGACAAAGATGCATGGAGGAAAGAAGTGGATTGGCAAAGACTTGAGCCATAGTCGTCTTGATTATTATTACTGGTTGTTGATGATCATTATTGTATTAAATATGTGTTTATTTATGTTGTTGTCTAGGAACTATAGGTACAAAAGTATACAAAAAAGTGTGGTTGTAGATGGTGAGAAAAAGTTAGAGCTGAGTACGGTTTAAAAAGAGTTAAATATGTTGACATCGAAAATGATTGCTCATCATAAACTTGGTACTAAAAGTGGCACATCATGGTACTAGAATTTTTTTATTTTTTTATTTTTTTTTTATGTGGAGAAGATTTCATTACTAGACTATTATCAAAATGGGGAATGGTTTTTTTATAAGAAATTGAAGTGTATCTACAAAAAAAATTATGATCTTTCTTTTGTCTTCCATCAGCAAAACTATTAATTGGTGTCTATATAATTATTTAAGTCTAATGATTAAGAATATAGACACCAAGCTCGATTTAACCACTACTACTTAACATGCTTTGTCCACTCCCCAAGCTCGATCTAACCACTATTAATTGGTGTCTATATTCTTAATTAAGTCTAATTATGACTTGTATTTATCTTAATGTTTCATATTTAGAACAATATAATACTACTAATGAGAAAAGAATAAAATAAAAAATAAAAAAATCAACCAATCAGATAATTGAGACAGCAAGTGGGATTGTATATACTGGTATAATTGACTTGAATTGACTTGACCTAATATCATTAATTTGGTGTTGTTCAAAGCATAAATTACAGGAAATCATGTGCAGCAAACTAATAATAGTATTCGGCAGTTTAAATGCTGAATTGCTGATTCTTTCATCAACCTGAAAAGTAAACGGTACATACCACATGATTGTACATTTGTACATATAATATGCTCAACGTACGTTAATTAAGCTTATGATATATTATAAAAAATGATATTAATTGTATTAAGCCTTTGTTCACGTGAAGATTACTGACCAAACAACCAAGCTTGGCTCATCCTACAAATATAGTAATCACACTTGCACTGCGACCTCCTTCTCAATCAATACGCAACGACTATCAGCTAGACAGCTACCCTGAATTATATAACACGATTTGTATTATTCAACTCCATTCATGATACGAAGTAATATTCAACTTTATAAGAAAAATAACTCAAATGTAACTTGAGACTATTGATCCCACGTTGAAAACTGAGAGGGGGATTAATATACGGAATGTAATATTATTGATGGTTAGGTCGTGAGATACTCTACTTATAATTTTAAAGAACTAGCAGTGAAGTAAGGATTTTAAAGACCGAGTGTCAAAGTATAATAAATGAGTAGTACGGGCTATAAGATTAACATTATACAGACAATTGTCAAAATTACAACAATTGAGCGAGAAATTAAACAAAGGTGGTATTGCTGTAATGCTTGCAGTTATTGCTGTATGAAGTATATAATATACTCCTTGTATTAGAAAACGTACAGTCGGCTTAATATCTAGCTGATATATTAGTAATAATCAAAACTATCATTATTACCTTAATTGAGCGTTAAAAGATGGTGGGAATAAGAGCCGATGAAATAGATGATGAAACACATGAGAGAAAAAGAGGTGAGTTTGAATTCCCAAATGAAAATTTGGACGAATCACAAGTTCTTGATTCATCATATGATTACAAAGGAAGGATTCCTCGTCGAGCTTCAACTGGCTCATGGAAAGCAGCCTTCTTCATCATAGGTAACCATCTAATTCTATTTTAACTAGCTTGTAAGTCAGTGAATGCGCCATAATATATAAAGTCCCGAGAACATCTATCTTACACCCGGGTGCCCTACATGCACCTAAGCGTGTTTTATTACCCTCAGCTAATCAATTTTGTAGATTTTTAAAAGTTTTGAAATGACCAAATGAAAGTAAGCCTATGTATATATGCACCTTGGTCTAGGTGCACCTGGATGTAACAAGCAGATGTAATTAATCAAGTCGTCACAATATCCTAATAATGTTGGTTGAAAAAAAACAATTGATGATGTATGTATGTATGTATGCAGCAATTGAGTTCAGTGAGAGACTGAGTTACTTTGGAATAGCACCAAATATGATAACATACATGACAAAAGTGATGCACCAAGACCTGGAAACAGCAGCCAACAGTGTGAATATATGGTCTGGAGTTGCCACAGTTATGCCATTGCTCGGTGGGTTTCTAGCAGATGCATATACTGGTCGCTATTTCATGATTCTTTTCTCTGCCATCCTCTATGCACTGGTAACGAACTCTTACTATATCTACTCACTAGTCACTACACATTACTCCGTATTTTCTAAGAAAAACATATATATACACCCAAGCTAAGAGACGTTCTCTCAATAGTTAAATTTTAATGTTGTTGTTGTTGTTGTTGTTATGTACTTCTGTAGTCCTATATGCGTAGTGTTTGTTTTTTCCTTAAAGATATTTTTTCAAAGCAATTTTTGGGGCAATACTTTGACATTTTCTTTACACTTGTAACTAGTTACTCTATAAAACAGAGTAACTTTAACACATCATGCTAATATAAAACAGGGTATTGGATTTTATTATGGTGTATGAATCTATTAAATTCGGTTGTTGATTTATCTATCTATAATTGAAATCAGGGTTTAGGTGTATGGACCATGTCTCAATACGTTCCGAGCTTTAAACCTTGTGGTGCGACCTTAACTACATGTGAGCATGTTAACAAGGTCCACGAGGTGGTCTACTTTGTAGCGGCCTACCTCGTGGCCCTAGCAACAGGAGGTTACAAGCCATGCTTAGAAAGCTTTGGGGCGGACCAATTCGATGACAACCATACGGAAGAAAGGAAGCAAAAGATGTCGTTTTTCAACTGGTGGAACATTGCTCTTTGTACTGGCCTCTTCACTGGGGTGACTTTGATTGTTTATGTGCAAGACTACGTTAGTTGGGGCCTCGGGTTTTTAATCCTGGCCATAACTATGGTAGCCAGTGTCTTGGTTTTTGTTCTTGGAAAGCCTTTTTATCGATATAAGGCCGTGGTTGGGAGCCCCTTAACCCCATTGTTGCAAGTCTTGGTTGCTGCCGTGGCCAAAAGAAATCTAGTTTGTCCGTCAAATCCGTCCTTGTTGTATGATGAAGCTCCCAATTCAGGGAACCTCAAAAGCGAGCGTTTAGGTCATACAAACAGACTCAGGTATGTAAATTATTGTTAAACCTCTTCTTAATTTTGTATGATCGTAGAGTAACTAAGCTTCTCACCATTGCCAATTGATTTTGAGATGAAACCTCACTAGGAATGAATTTAAATGGTCCTTGTATACATGCAGATTTTTTGACAAAGCTGCTATAATAGACAATCATGAAAGTAATGAAGTACAATTGAAGAAACAAAGTCCATGGAGGCTAGCAACCGTGACACAAGTGGAGGAATTAAAACTCGTAATAACCATGGTTCCCATATGGTTAACTTCCTTGGTGTTTGGCATAGGCGTTGCACAAGGCACCACATTCTTCGTTAAACAAGGGAGTGCAATGGATAGGAAAATTTCCAAACACTTTGAAATCCCAGCAGCTTCTATGGCCACCCTAATAGCCCTAGGGATGATTACAACAATCGCCTTTTACGATAAAGTCTTACTCCCATACTTAAGGAGAGCCACGGGCAATGAGAGAGGCATCAACATCCTTACAAGAATTGGCATTGGTATGGCTTTCTTAATCGTTGCAATGTTGACATCAGCCTTGGTTGAGAGGGAACGATTAAAGGCCTCGCTAGAAGGGAAAATAATGAACGTGTGTTGGCTAGTGCCCCAATTCTTGATCCTCGGTATAGGGGATGGGTTTTCCCTAGTAGGAATGCAAGAATACTTCTATGATCAAGTTCCTGACTCGATGAGGAGTTTAGGAATGGCGCTTTACCTTAGTGTTATCGGTGTTGGGAGCTTTATGACAAGCTTTTTGATTACTATTGTGAATCGTGTGACTACTATGCATGAAGGAAGTAAATGGATAGGGAAGGATTTGACGCATAGTCGTCTTGATTATTTTTACTGGCTCTTGATGATCATTTTTGTATTGAATATGTGTGTTTTTATGTTGTTGGCTAAGAACTATAGATACAAATCTGTTCAAAGAAGCAAAGAAGTTATTGTAGACGATTTTGATTCTTGTGATAGCAAGAAGAAACTGGGATTGGGTGGTGTTTAAATTGAATATATGTATGTTGACATTGAAATGCTCAATCACATACTCCCTTTGTCTCATTTTAGTTGTTTAAAGAAGTATTTCGTACATGTTTTGTAATTAAAAAGAAATGTAAGATAATTTTTTTTTTTTTAATAATTTACTCGTATAATGTTTTAATGTGAATTATGGTTTTATATAGTACTCCGTTTGTCTCATTTTAGCTGTTAAATTTTCCAATGTGAAATATTACAAAATACTAATAGTTGTAAATTCCAATTATAAACAACAAAAATATTTAATATGCCTTTATACTTAACCATACAAAACATAATGGGAAAAACATAATAAACGGGAGAGTATCATTACAAGAAAAAGGTATACAAGAGAAATGGCAATAAACCATGCATTATTAATACCAGTATTTGTTAATTCTCATTGGGAGCTTGAAATTTTAAGAAGATTATATGATTGAAGTAATTAAGTTCATATGTTAGAGTTATAAGATCTTAAATAATACGAAGTAGGAAAATATATACTTCGTGATGTATTCTCCATGTCGATATTAGGATTGGTTTGGTAAATAACTTCATGGTTATATACACAAACCCCCAAAGTCTGTACTCTTAGTTTGGAAGCATGGTACAAACAAAGCTGATTTTATAGAGATAGTCTGCGGATTAGCCAACAGCAAGCAGCCATTCAAATGGGTGGGTGGTTCGCCGTGGCTTGATTGAAGGATCAGAGGAAACTGATCCACTTCCCTTGCTAGTGGGTTACTCAGACACAATAGGTCAAAGGGGTGAATAATCTGAATATTGTCAACTGGGCACCTAAAACATTAAGCTTCAGCCCACTCTGCTGCATGAGGTTTCATTGCAGATGGAATTCAGTTATGTGGAGCATTAGTGAAAGGACACCAATGCTTTGTCTACCCTTCTTTGTTAGTCAGAATATAAACTCTACGTGAATAAACGGAGATTGAAAATTTGATATGGAGCTGGACAAAGGGATAGACAGGGGTGAAATACAGTCAGTCAGTCAGAAAACTGATGATGGAAGAAGAGGGTGCTGGGTCTATCGCTGCTAGCTTTAACCTTCCTAGGATGGCGCTGAGGACTGGTGGTGTGTTGTCTTTACTGGTTTATCTTTCCCTGCCTTCTTTACGAGAAAAAGGCTATCTCCCACCCCAAGGTAACTTCCGCCTTTATATCTTTTCCTTCCCAAGCAAATGTCTAGCCATAAGGGCGAACTGGTGAATTTTACTGGGATAGAAAGTTAAAAGAGCTTTTCTCCAAAAGCCTGAATCTCTACTGTACACCCATTGGATTTTCAGGCGCCGTGTGCATGTTATGTGCCTCTACACATATCATGCATCATATACACGCAAATATGTGAGGCATGTGTACAGCACATGCCACCTGGGTAACAGTACAAAGTTATTATAGTGTAAAATTATATACTGATAGAGACCAAAGTCCCTGAAAGAAACACATGGCTTTCCCAATTTATATATACATAATCAATACACTACATGTACAAAATCACTACTAGCTTCAGATCTCATTAATTCCTTAGGGTCAGACTCATTGTTCAAAAGCATAGTAAGCAGATGATGTTCAGATTTGGTATACATCTGCAATGTCTACATAAATGCAGGATATAATTCATGCAAACCCTAATTCCCAACGCATAAACGCAATTAACTCCAATGCATATCAAAAACATGAAAAATCAGTGTTTACAAAAACAACCATATCGTTTATAGATAAGTAATAGCATAGCTGCTTTATGACCATTAAGAAAGTATGTGTTGAAGTTGTTTTACTTGACGTTATTAAAACTTCCGGTCTATACTGTTCTGTAAAATCCTTGACCCCTCTCTTTTTCTCTCCTACATTTAGATCATAAATTAGACGAGCCACTGCCAGAGCTTCCTCCTTTGAAAGTCAGGGACCTTCCTTTACAATTGCTACATGAGCTACTGGAAACTGTAGTCCATCAATTTAAGACTTCCCAAGGTGTTATATGTAATAGCTTTGAGGAACTTGAAGATTCTTCAATAGCTCAAGTTCACCAAATCCTTTCCATCCCCATCTTTCCTATAGGCCCTTTACACAAACACTCACCAACTTCTGATACCAACTATTGGGCACAATACAAAACCTCCATCACTTGGCTGAATCATCAAGCACCCAAGTCTGTACTGTATGTGAGTTTTGGGAGTGTTGAAGCTATAGACAAAGCTGATTTTCTTGAGCTAGCCTCGGGATTGCTTGAAAGCAAGGTGCCTTTCCTGTGGGTGGTACGCCCTGGAATGATCCAAGGCACAAACGCTTATGACTCATTGCCAGAAGGCTACCTTAAAATGGTGGGTGAAAGAGGACACATTGTCACATGGGCACCTCAATTAGAGGTTTTATCCCACCCAGCTGTTGGAAGTTTTTGGACTCACAATGGATGGAACTCAACTTTGGAGAGTATTTGTGAAGGAGTGCCAATGCTTTGCCAGCCTATCAATACTGACCAGTATACGAATGCAAGGCTGGTGAGTGACGGTTGGAAGATAGGATTGAAGTTGGAAAAGAGGGTAAAAAGAGAAGAAATAGTAAGGTCTATAAGCAAACTAATGCTGGAAGATGGTGGAGAGATGAAGAGCAGAATCACAAGTTTAAAGGAGAAGGCAACTCTCTGTGTCAAGGAAGGTGGTTCTTCATACACATCTTTAGAGAAGCTTACCAAATTTTTACTATCATTTTGATTCACTTGGTCTTTGTACCATTTAATATTTTCATTAACTATATAGTCTGAGAAGAAAATTTTATATAAAAATTACCCCAAAAAATTTGCTTGTTCAGGTCCTAGAGCAAGTCCGAACTGATGACGAACATTGCTTGTATTTTGATTTTTTAGCTCTTAATCCCCAAAAAAAGAAGAGGGGAGAATTTCATCAGTCAAGTAAACTTCAGGCATGAATAAAATATCTTTAGAAAGGAATCGAAAAGATCCGTTTTCTTACCTTTTTTAAAGAGACTGAAAATTTCTAATGTTGGAAAGATTTAAAGATAAACATAGAAGCTCAGTCACTCACCCATTACCACTTCTTGCATCTCCTGCCACCATATTCTCTCCAAAAAGGTCATTAGACACGCTGCTAAGCTCTTGATCTCTAAAAAAGAATTTGAGTTGAGTAGTTTTCAGTTGTCTTACCCTTTGGAATCTACAATGCCATACAGGACCAAGGTAAGTTGAAAGCAGAGATATAGAAAACTTTTGGTAACTGATCAAAAGACCAATGGAAGTTCAGCAATGCATGATGCTCACTACCCAAAAATCCCGTGTTGTGTGAAGTTCAGCAATGCATGATGCTCACTGCAGACATGCATGAATCCTTCTTCATACGGTTTTTTTCTGATAAATTCAGATAGGCATAGTTTCAAGGCAGTACGATACATACCTTATACTGTTATACAACACAAAAATGACAGGGCTGTCAAGGTTTCATGTTACCCTGATTTAGCCCTGCTAAGAAAGATAGGCATGATCCTATCTACAATACTCACTACAAAGAACTAGAGAAGCCTTTAACTTATTTCTTAAATATCAACCAATATTCTGAAAGAGAGAAGCAGCAAATTAAGATAAGGGTAAGGGTATTCCTAATCGTACAACCAATCAAGGCCATATTACACCAATGTTCCACCTAGCAAATATTCTCCATTCAAAACTCTTCTCAACCACCGTCATCCAAACAAACTACAAATCTTTTCCCATTTCCCACGTTTCTTTATCACTTTCACCGAATAGCTTCCCTGATGATACCATATATGCATCAAGCCATCAAGTAATATAAGCAGTCTTAGCTTCCCTTAATACAACCCGCTTAGAAACTTTGAAGAAATTGCTTGTCCTAGATTTTGAGCAACAGTGTGGCCTCCTATCAGGAGACCATCAGAGGTCTCATTGTGAACACTACGTGGTCGTGTGCTGGTTCTATTGCCAGAAGCCTAAGCCTTCCAAGGATCATGTTGAGATGTGGTAGATGTCTACCTTTTATGTTTATCATTCCCTGCTAACTCTCAACAAACAGGATTACTATCCATCCTCTCCTAGGTACTAACTTCAACATCTTTGCTTAGAAGACTCTAAATTATTAATTCTAACATCCTGAATTTCTTCTATCAATTTGTTACTAAGCTGAATGATGTAAAGTGAACTTCAGTAATTTGCATAAAACATGGTTTAAGTTTATGTATGACACACCAAGGGTTTATAATAAATAATAATCTTAATTTTGCAACTTTAATCGCGATATCTAACAATCGACAACATCAATCATTTAACAATTACTCCTCTCTTCTATGCACCCGAGAGCATGATGCGCATTAGGAATCACATTTTGTAAATTACGTAATCAAATTTTATACTTGTATAATAATTAAAAAGAAGTCAGAGATAACTTAACTCATAAAGTCATAAGCATAACACAAAAGGCAAACCCAAATATCAATCAAATAATAAACATTAAAAGAATGAATTTTAAGCAAACAATTACAATCAAATTTAAGAATATAGACAAAATTTAAGTGGAAATAAAACTAACCTAAACCATCCATGGAAGCCTTTATACAGAATATAATAATTCTCCGGAGTCTCAAGCGCCGCGCCGCCGCAGGAGGAGGAGGAAGAAGCGGCGTCGTTTCAAACTGAGCAATTGGCCCGTTCAGAGCACCACCATTGCCGGAGGAATTACGTCTGCGGGGTTCCTGACAACGAGAATGAGTTAATGACAGGTAGGAAATTTACATTTAGTTTTTTTTTTTTTTTTTTTTGAGGAAAGATTAATTTTTTTTTTCGACGGGAGGATTTTAATTACTGTAGTAGATACTTAGTTAGGAAATTTACAGTATGCACCAGTTAGCGGTTACATTTTTTTTTTACTACGTAACAAGAACCCACGTATTAGCATTATAAGAACAAAATGTAGTTGGCTTTATTCTACTTCTTATTCAAATAAGTAAACTAACACAAATTCTTATATGTGGATGGCCATACGTGTGGTCAATATAAGTAAACTAACACAAATTCTTATATGTGGATGGTCATACGTGTGGTCAATATAAGTAAACTAACACAAATTCTTATATATGGATGGTCATACGTGTGTTCAATCATCATAAGGTTACTTCGTTAGTGTTATAAAAGTAAGGTTACCTAGTTAAGTGTTCAGAGGTCACTTCGTTAGTGTTAAAGAAATTACTTCATCAGTGTCACAGGGTTACTTAGTCAGTGTTTTAGGGGTTACTTTGTTTTTTTACAAGCGGCCACACGATGTGGCAAGCCGGCAGCCGCACACAAGACGCAAATTTTTTAAAAAAAATACTTGTTCCCTCCGTTTTTAAATACTTGCCCCATTTTTTCATTTTCGGCCGTTTTTAAATACTTGCTCCATTTCCTTATTTGGAAAACTTTTACAATATTTAATTCATTTTTCTCAACTAATGGACCCAACATAAATCATATTTTATTAATTTTTTATTCTCTCTCCTCCAATTCTCTCAACTACTTTTGCTTTTCAAAATTTTTTTTTATTCTTCCACTTACTCCACTACCTCCATATTTTATTATTTTCTCCAATTTCTCTTAAAACACTGCGCATAGAGAAATGAAGCAAGTATTTAAAAACGGAGGGATTTTATATTGAAATAAAGCGTATATTCACATGTGTATAAATATATTATGTTTTGACACTTTCTTTCAATCAAACAAAGGGAAATCTTCACACAATTTCTATAAAATCTAACAAAGATGTACATTTCTTCCATTGCATATTCAGAGTCTAGGTATATTCACCATGACACAGTACATTCCAAGCCTTAAACCTTGCAATACAACCTCGAGTTCATGCCAACATGCTAGCAAGGTCCATGAGACGGTCTTCTTCATAGCGGCCTACCTCATGGCCCTAGCAACAGGGGGTTACAAGCCATGCTTAGAGAGTTTCGGAGGGGATCAATTCGACGACAACAATCCTAACGAAAGGAAGCAGAAGATGTCATTTTTCAACTGGTGGAACATCGCGGTTTGTAGTGGCCTATTTGTTGGGGTAACTTTGATAGTGTATATCCAAGAAAATGTAAGTTGGGGCATTGGATTTATAGTATTAACCATAACAATGATTGTTACTGTCTTAGTATTTGTTCTTGGAAGACCATTTTATCGGTACAGTACCGCCCTTGGAAGCCCCTTAACCCCGTTGGTACAAGTCTTGGTTGCAGCCATTGCTAAGATAAACCTACCGTACCCTTCTAATCCCTCTTTGTTGCATGAGGCTAACGGTTCAAATAAGCTCCAACGACGACTTTTGGGACATACTAATAGACTAAGGTAAATGCAATGTTCATGAAATCTAGTATATAAATACAAAATTAAGTTTGTGCTTTGTGTTGTCCATTTTAATTTTTACGTGACTAAAAATAATATAGGTTCATTATACAGTATAGTATAAAGTACTTCGTATATATTAGTGCTATCATGAACAACTTGATGTATGAGTTGATCATATGATAATGAGATAATGCATACGTATTACAGATTTCTTGACAAAGCTGCAATAATCGAAAAAAAAACGAAAGTAATGGAGTAGCCAAGAAGAAGCAAAGTCCGTGGAGGCTAGCAACCGTGACACAAGTGGAGGAATTAAAACTAATAGTAACCATGATTCCGATATGGCTAACATCGTTAGTGTTTGGCATAGGCAATGCCCTCGGCCCAACATTCTTCATCAAGCAAGGCAGTGTAATGAATAGAAAAATCTTCAACCACTTTGAAATTCCAGCAGCTTCTATGGCCATCCTATCGGCCATAGGTATGACTGCTTCATTAGCCTTCTACGACAAGGTCTTACTCCCGTACTTAAGGAGAGTCACAGGCAATGAAAGAGGCATCAACATCCTTACAAGAATTGGTATTGGCATGGTCACCTTAACTATAACGATGGTAGTCTCGGCCTTGGTAGAAAGAGTAAGGCTTAACGCGTTTTTACAAGGGAAAACAATTCATGTGTATTGGCTCGTTCCTCAAGTCTTGATGAGTGGCATAGGGGACGGGTTTTCCCTAGTAGGACTACAGGAGTATTTCTATGAACAAGTTCCTGATTCGATGAGAAGCTTAGGGATGGCGTTTTACCTTAGTGTTAACGACATTGGGAGCTTCCTTATGAGTTTTGTCATAACTATAGTGGACTACGTAACTGGGATGAATGGCGGAAAAAAATGGATTGGCAAGGATGTGAACGACAGTCGCCTTGAGTATTTTTACTGGCTCTTCATGGTTGTTTTTGTGTTAAACTTGTGTGTTTTTGTGATGTTGGCTAAGAATTATAGGTACAAAAATGTTAAAATTGGTGATATATATGATGACGAGAAGAGAGTGGAGCTCGCTAGTGTATGAGCAACAGGTAGGGTTGACATTGTAGACAAAGTTTGTGGTGACGATAAAGAGAATCATTAAACGATTAATTTGAATAATTTTTGTTTTCCCTAATTGGTATCTCTTAGAGCATAAATGAGCACTCTTCCTTGAGTTTGATTTTGGCTTTTCGAGACTCTTTGTACATCTTTGTATTTCGATATGGTGTAACTAGATTGTACTCATACTAATGCATAACATTAATATAATGTACTAGTAATTAATTTTACTTACAAAATTGGATAAGAGATTAAAAAAAAGGTAAAACAATTGCATGCGCCCACCGTGGGGCTCGAACCCACGACCACAAGGTTAAGAGCCTTGCGCTCTACCAACTGAGCTAGACGGGCTTTTGATTTTAATCTGATTGTTTTAGTTTAGATTTTGTCTTGTATGTTTTTTTTTTTTTTTTTTTTGGTGACAAAAGTGGAGACGTGGGGTATGCATGTCTCAGAGAAAATATGTAGGAGTATTTAGTACTTCCGAGATTGGTCTCGAAACTTTATTTTGGTGGTAATGTTCAAAAGTAGAATCAGAGGCGATCTTTCGTGGCACTAATCCATTATATCAGATTTTGATCCCCAATGTAAAATTGTATGATATTTTATAAAGAACAAGCTAACTAGCTCAATATCATAACTCATTTATTTAACTCCTACCATTAGTAAATAAATTGAGTTTATATATATTAGTACAAGGTTCATATGTTATAGCATGTATATAGAACCAATCATGTGCATGCGTAGTTTTAACCATTAAGTCATTAATTAAATTTTTGAATGGTATGTTGACATACTATCAAAAGTTAGCATGAAAAAAAAAAAAAAAAAAAAAAAAAAAATTATAGATTCATCACTAACAAAATTATAGATTCATCATCATATATTAGTATTATCTCATCCATCTATCGTTTAGTAGCTTCATGCCACTCAAGCACACTCAAGTCTTTTGAATTAAAAGATTCATCCAGTTGGAAATTTTCACAACAGTATATTTGTATCACTAACAAAACCCGAGGCTGATCAATTTGATTCGTGGACAACCGAGCGCAGACTGGTCGAAGTAGTTCAACATGCGTAGAACAGATTGTGGCACCATTCGATCCTTTCTAAAATGGATTGTCTAACGTTGTACATAAATCTCTATACTACATCCACACCCAAATAGATCTCAAGTGAGATAATGTACAAGTTATAAATAAAAAGATTAAAAACAATAATGAGAGTGTAATCATTAATCTAAGCTTTTAATTGTTGACAATATACATTCTCCTTTGATTTTATATTTTATTTTTTGTGAAAAAACCTGTTGTATTAATTTGTTTTGGGGTGGGTTTCTGATAATTAAAGTCCCTCGTAAAACCAGGGGTGAAGAAATAAAGAAAGTACGTACGAGTAGAAAAAAAACAAGTGCAATACAGTAAAGTACAAAATAAAATTGAATTGGATGTCACTACTCAAACACATGGGGGAGAGTTAAGAATTAAAAAAAGGGTGAGGGTGAGGGTGAGGGGTGATTTGGGTATGTAAGTTAATTGCAGTGGAGTTACCCACCTATCTTATTTTATGCTGATTAGTCCCATCACTCGTCTGTCCGTCAGTCAACTTAATGCCTTTCTCTCTCTCCAACCTTAGCTAGTCTCCTCTTTATAACACCCTACCTACATATATCATGACATAATCTTCCTCAATTGTCCTTTTATCACTACGTGCATCTTATTTATACTTATAGTACCAGTAAAATAAATACGATTACAATTTTACAAAAGGTTGTAAACACCTTACTACTATGAATTCAATTCTTCCAAAGCCTTGGCCAAGAATAAATAGAGAGTAATATGTGCTCATGTATGAGTACCTATTTTAATTCCAAAAATTGCTTATTATTATCTACTCTTTTTTCTTAGAATTAAACTTATCTTGTTTAAATGTGAAAAGTACATATTACAGAGTAAAACATAATAAAGTTTTTTGGATATAACTCACAAGATTAGAATAATAATTTTATCTTTTTGAAGAAAGTTATAATTATAAAAAAAAATAAAAAATTAAAACCACTGGTCCACTATTATTCATGAATATTATATTAAATGTAAATAGTTAATTGAAAAAAAAGGATCATTTACCCCAACATAATTCACAAAATTCACATCATATAGAGTATTATCAATAAGTGCATAAAAGTGTGCAATAATTAATACCTCAATTTTATATTATTTACAACAATTAGATACTTTCTAATTATATTTTATGTCAAAACATTAAATACAAATAATATAAAACAGAGATAGTACACCCCAATAGATGGATAGCATCATTGTAAGAGTGTCCATTTGTATAGCAAAGAACAGTTCCCCTCCCCTTTACTCCTTTATTACTCCAAAAATACATCTGCCTACCTCCCCATCAAATCATCAACTCCCTCTCCTACCTTCTTTTTCATATAACCACTCAAAATTTAGTAATCACCTCTTTCCCTCCCTCTTAACTCTTTCCATTTTCTTCCACTCTTTTCCATTTCCCATTTTCTCTCTCCTCCATGGACGACGATCCTTACCACGTCCCTCAACAAAGCCGACGTCACAAACTCCGCTACCACCCCCACCACCACAATCATCGGAACAACGATATTGATATCGATATCGTTGTTTCGCAACACCACCACCCTTTCCTCTCCCCTCTCCAAGTACTCCAACCAACTTCCTCCGCTTCTTCATCAGCTGATCATCCGCCAATAATGGCGGCGGCATCAACTAATTTATCACTGTCTTCCTCCTCCGCCCACGCGCGCGCGTACCTTCCTTCTCCAGTGGGCCCATTTACGGGCTACGCTTCTATATTGGGCCGATCTAGGTTCCTCCGGCCCGCCCAAGAAATTCTCGAAGAATTCTCCCGTGCCAGTGGAGTTTCCTTCGAGAAACAAGGGCCTTATAAGATTCTAGAAGATTCTGGAACCTTGTTTAATGATACTGATGATGATTTGTCACTCCGATGTAGTAATCCTAACCTCGTATCTATGCTTCATGAGGTCTGTTACTACTACTCGTAATACTCACGTACTCTTCCGTACAATTACGTTTATTTTAATACAAGTACATTATTAGTGTGCTTTTTCTTTAATCTGTTTTTTAATCATTCATGCATTGTTTTAATTATGTTGGTATAGTAGTTGTTTATTGTCCTTGTTAGTGTATATTATCTATAAATATGTTACGGAGTACGAGTAATATTATTTAATGTGATCTTTGTTATCATGTACGAGTACAAATATAACAATGTAAAATTAATTAACATGATTTAATTAGGTATTACTCCGTATTAATGTTATGTTATTGAGTGAAAGTGAGAATGTTATTGTTTTAGGTGAAAAGTGAAAGTGAGAATTTAAACAAAAATAGGATGTTTTTGAGTTTCAAGGCATATTTTAGCCCAAGATAGTGAAAGTTGAACTAGTGATATGCTCCGTGTATGACGCTGAAAAAACCTTAAAAAGTTGTGATTATAGGTTACTTTGAGTTAGTTTTGTGACAACTAAAGTTTGAGAAAATATTAAGGGTATAATGTAAATTTTTATATGCATGCATTATTGTGTTATTTCAAAAGCATTATTACTTTGTACTCGTATAAGATTGCTTGTCCCATTTCAATTTTTTGGGTCAATTATTTAATTTTGACCATCACTTTTCCTGAGTCTATAAGATATCAATATTCACATTAGATATTGTTAGGATTGTTTCAATGCATTATTTATGCAGCATTTTATCTTTTATAGGCATACATGAAATTAAAGATATCAATGGTTTAATTTATGCGGTAAAACTAGACAAAAGTATAATAGGGTGACCTATAAGAGATCGGAGTATTCACTATAATCCTTGTGCAGTTGTGCTTAATTTTATAAAGCTAGATATTTATTGTTTGAATGTGAAATCCTGTGTGTGGGGAATTGTTGACTTGTGAGAGGCTTCATTCAAGTAACGCATCTTCTCCTTATCCACCTAAAAAAAATACTTCATACGGAGTATAAAAAGGTGTTAAGAGTATTGGAGTGATATTTTCAGATTAGAATAACTGCTCTATCGGTTCAAAATCTATCACAGGTTAACTCGATCCGGGCTTGTAGGTGGTTAAATAATGAGATTACAGGTAAAAAGGGTAAGGGGAATTGGAGTTATCTGGTGATGTACAGTGTACTCATATGTAGATGTTGATATGTATGAGAGTGATGAGTTGATGATCTGATAGTTGCTGTCACTGTAAAAGGGCAGTAGTTTGGGTTTTCTTGCGGTAAAAATTATTATTATTAATCATATCTCTCTATTTCTCTCTCTGCTGCACTGGCAGTGAGACATAAAGATGTCTAGTCTTGTCAAAACTTATTAATCAAATCATTTCCTCCTATCTTTTTTAATATTCATTTTTTATGTCTTTTCTCTGCCCTTTTCCACCAATTTTTTTTATTAAAGTATGATTTAAAAAATCCTTTTTAGCTCTACGATTATTATTTACCCCTTCTACTATGCATTAACTATACTGTAGTTAAGAGAATGTAATAAGTTATATTTTTTCTATTTATAGTAAGGTTAGTCAGTCAGGTAAGATTTTCCATATTTGCATGACACAATACATACTTTAGAGCTTGGAACCTAAAGATAGACTAGGAGAACCATACATGCAAAATGTAAAGTGACATAACCCTACTCCCCTAGTTTTTGATTAAAAAAAGTAGGTATTTCAAAAAAAGGAAGCTTATTAATGAATTCTCCTACCATCATTTAGATCTGTAATGCATTGGTCATTTGTGTGTTAATATCAAAAAAAATATAGTATGGAGCCATGTGTCAATAATGAGACGATAGTGAATCTTTCGTATTTTAAGGGTGACTTGTTGTATTTTTAACGGAAGAACTAACCTTGATAATTTCTTTTGCTTTTAGAAAGCTAATTCTTTATGAGACGACGACACCTATTAAGGTCTATTCATGTTCTACACCTCTAGCCACTTGCAACAATATTAGTTCAAATTGCACTATTAGTTCAGGTTACTAAGAACTTTATCAAAGAGGATAGCGAGTCATTTGAGCCTTTTTTTACCTTCAAAACTCCAACTATTTTACAACAGATCGATCGATGATTCACCTTCTGCAAGAGTTTCTTATCTTCTTAGAGGATGTTAATTACTCATCTCTTATGGAGCCTTTTTTTGCTAGTTTGAATGGGATATGGTCTAAAGTTTAAGTGTGTTAAGTATTTGATAGGATTACTAAAGTCGAGCTGACCTTTAGTGATAATGAAGTAAAGTGCAGTAGCAGCTAAGAATTTGCGATGTAAATAATAGTTGTTCAAAGATGCGATTATAAAAATGAGCATCCACCGTGGGGCTCGAACCCACAATCACAAGATTAAGAGCCTTGCGCTCTACCAACTGAGCTAGACGGGCTTCTTATTTTTTACTACGCTTGACGTAATACTGTAATTTACTGAAGAAAAATTAGAATTTGTTTTTTTACTAGCTGTTTATAAAAGGGTTGTCTAGAAAAATGATCTTTATTCTTTATAAAAATAGTCGCCCACCGTGGGGCTCGAACCCACGACCACAAGGTTAAGAGCCTTGCGCTCTACCAACTGAGCTAGACGGGCTTTCTGTCTCAGGGAAATTCTGATGCAAATATGTCATATGAAGTTGTGAAATTTGTGACAAAAAACCAAAAGTTGCAGTTCATAAAAAATACATCAGCATAGATGCATAAATTTATCACAAAGGAGGTTCTTGGGGAAAATAATCGGCACAAGCTAAGAGGCTTGCGCTCTACCAACTGAGCTAGACCGTCTTGTGAGAGTTGTGACTATGGTCCCTTTTTCTACTATTTGTGCAATGTATCCCAATAAAACAATTTGGACGAAGATATGATTTGCTTGCATTGCATCAGTTTGATGGTTGTTTTGTGGACCAAACTACAGCATGCAGCATGGTCCTTTCCTGTTGGACATTGTTTCTCTTTTTTGATGTTGATCCTTATTTTCTGTTTTAGGTTTACAAGAGATATAAACTCTACTGCCAACAAATGCAATCAGCTGTTTCATCATTTGAATCTGTTGCGGGTCTTGGAAATGCTGCCCCATTTTTATGCTTTGCTGTTAGAGCCATGATTAGGCATTTCCAGTGCTTAAAGAATGCCATTCTGGATCAAATTCGCGTTACTAGTAAAGCTTTCTCAAGTAGCGTAGATACCAGGAGTGATCGCACTCCAGGGTCCTGCTCAGAAGACAAAGGTCCATCTCCTAACTTTCTCCAACATCCTGTCTGGCGATCCCAAAGAGGATTTCCTGATAAAGCTGTAGCTGTTCTGAAAAATTGGCTATTTGAACACTTTCTACACCCGTAAGAAATTACTTTGTTTTCCCTCAGTATTGCAATTACCTCATGAAACAAGAAGCTCCAAGTTTCTATCATTTGATTATATTCATGGATCTTGTTTACTGATGCTATTATGCTCTGAATTCATTATTTCAGTTATCCTAGTGATTCTGACAAGCACATGTTGGCGCAGAAGACCGGCCTATCAAGAAGTCAGGTTAGTGCTTTTCGAGTATTGCCTTGTTTCAACTTTCAAGCTTATGGGTATACTAGTTACAATACTTCCCCTTCAACATCAAAATCCCCATTGAAAATTAAAGAACCAACATTCTTAACATGTTTACGACGTTTATAGTAGCGTTTTATAAAGAGGTCTTCATATATCCTTTGTACAGGTATCTAATTGGTTCACCAATGCAAGAGTGAGGCTGTGGAAGCCGATGGTGGAAGAAATGCACGCATTTGAGAGGAAAACTCAATGCTCCAAGGCAGAAGATACGCCAAAATTCTTCAGTTTGGTGACTGATCAGCAAACTTCATTACAGCCCCAGCTATCTGAGAAGGATTTCCAGATTACATACTCACATAGAGATCAAGATAATAGTCATTGTAAGCGCAGTAAGATTGAAGCATTTCCGAGAGCAGAGCAGGGAAAGGAACAGTTCAGCATGCTTTGCAACCGTCTTCCAAACAACCAGGTTCTCGATGTTGGAGGAAGTCATAGTGGAGCACATATAAGCCATTCTTCTGCTATAGGTAGCAATCAAGATAATACAACTGGGTTGTCGTGGTCTAATCATGGGCAAATCGTACCATTCTGGCTTGCCAAGCAATAATTTTCATGGTTCTAGGAAATTGATTTCGGCTCTTGAAAGTGCATAATTAGAATCTCATATGGACTCCAGAATTATTTGCCCAAATTTGTCTAGGAAAACTGATGTAACTGCATGCTCGATCTTGAGAGTGCCTGAAATTCTACTAGATTCAGAATTCAAATTGCTCGAAAGTTTGAGCATGTGTATGTAGTTTGTGTTTAATTAGATGACTTCATGTTTAGCATTGTAGAATATAATCCATTGACTTGCATAGTTGCTTGTCCATCTTCCTTTCCTCGAAAAATCTTGTGATTCATCTTGTATGAGAAATATTGTGAAAATACCGTCTGGCCTGGCAAAAAATTCCAAAACATTTACTCGTGGTTAGATTTGTTTTCATTCTTATAGGTAAGCATACAAACATGCTCTATCTCAGGCATTGAACCCAGGCCGAGACTCAGCTCAGGAACAGCAGGTGCTTCCTACTGAACCATTTACAACTAAGCGCGGTGAGGAACTTGTTAGGCAGTATCACAGCATAAAACGAAGTATAGTACATTCTAGTTAATCTAGTACAAGCAATAAATCAACGTGAAACATGAGGTTCATAATATCGGTCGAGAATTAGTAGCTATCAGAGGGGGACCTGGCCAGCCCCCCTAAATTATTGTAATTATTTATTTATTGAACTTAAATAACCTATATTTACTTATAAAATATTGGGGTTTAGTGATTAGTTTTGAGCAAGAGCTAAAATATTTAAATCTCGGCCCTTCTAATATTTTCGGCCAAGATCCACCACTGGTAGCTATCGTAAAGTTTAATATTTGACTAAATAACTAATAAATATTGTTGACAAATATATAATCAGTCGTTTGTCAATTAGCTGTAAAACACGATAAGCATTCACAAATTATAGAAACTAGTATATATAGATCCCGTGCATACACGGATAGTACTAAGATTTTTATTTAACTTATTAATTCAAAGATTATCATAATTTAACTTTAATGAATTGAAATTAATTGACACATAAATATGTCTCACTTTTGAATTTATAGTACTAACATTAATTTTATAAGAAATTATTATGTATAATATTTTTTTTTTTTAAATGATTTTAGTTTATACATTTTCCTTATCCGTTGATTAATAGAAGTTTTATAAATTATTGAATTATTGAATAATATTTTTCCAACTTTAGATTCGTTGTAATATAAAAAGGAAATTTATTGTAATTAATAGTTAATGAAATATCATGTACACACTTATTCCTTGAAAATGATAATTTAAGTTATGGTAAGATTTAGTAACAATTGTAATAAAAAGAAAATTTTGAAAAGTGAAATTAGACGGGAAATATTTTATCACAAAATAACACATGTCATTTGAGATTTGTGTTTAGTATAAGTTTATTTATTATTGATTGATGATGGAGCCCACAACTCAATATTTCTTGATTGTAAATTGTAACCCACTCATTATACACGGTAAATGTTGATAAGTATATTAGGTGACTCGTACTTCGTAGCTTTGTCCGCCCGATCGGGCGGACATTGCCCGGTCTGACCGGGCGGAAGAAGAAGAGGTGCCTGGCAAATTCGTTGAAGAAGCTGCTCTCGCGCCCGACCGGGCGAGCCTTCGCCCGACCGGGCGAGCCTTCGCCCGATCGGGCAGACCTTGCCCGGTCTGACCGGGCGGTGGGGGTTGGATACGTTGAAGCATTCGTATGGAGTTTTCTTCTCGCGCCCGATCAGGCAGACCTTGCCCGGTCTGACCGGGCGGAGAAGGAAAAATACGGAACGCGGATTTTGCGGTTTTAGGTTATCTTATTTTATTATCTTTTTGCCCAAGTATCTTTTAATTAGGGATTAATATAAAACCTCCCTAATATCAGTATTAGGGTTAAGAGAGAGAGAGTGAGAGCCGTTCTTGAGAAATACAAGAATCATCTTTGTAATCTTTGCAGTTTATAGTGAAATCATTCGATCTCGGTGCCCGTGGACGTAGCTATCACATCGATAGTGAACCACGTAAATTCTTGGTGTTGTTCTTATTGTTTGCATTGAATTTCTTTATTGTTTTCTTGTTTGTTTACGACCTTTGCTTCCGCTGTCGCACAACAATTGGTATCAAGAGCTCAGGTTCAATCCTTGGAGAGTTTCTTGAAGATAACAATGGCAGGAGATTCAACAATAAGAATTGAGAAGTTTACCGGGAAAAATAGTTTCGGGCTATGGCAAATTAAGATGAAGGCTCTGTTAAAACAACAGCAGATATGGCGTCCGTTGGCTCCAAAGAGTACTACTTCGGAGTCAGGAGACGGACCGACTGACTCGCAGTTAGAAGTTATGGAAGAGAAGGCACACTCTACCATATTACTTAGTCTTGATGATCAAATCATCACGGAGGTTGCTGATCAGGAAACGGCGGCTGGATTGTGGCTGAAGCTGGAGTCATTGTATATGACTAAGTCGTTGACCAACAAATTATTACTGAAACAGCGGTTGTTTAGCCTCCGGATGCAGTCAGGTACTTCCTTACGGGAACATCTAGAAAAACTTAACTCTATTTTGCTTGATTTACGTAATTTAGATGTTAAAATTGATGATGAGGATGCTGCGTTGATTTTACTTGTATCTCTACCGTCTAGCTTTGAGAATTTTGTAGAGTCTTTTGTTGTTGGTAAGGATTCTATAACCTTAGAAGAAGTGAAGGCAGCACTTCATACTAGGGAACTCAGAATGAAAGCTACGAGTGATAATGGGGATAATGGTAGTGGGTTATTTGTTAAGTCCGGAAAGTCTAAAAAGAATAAGGGGTTTAACAAGGGGAACAATGCTGGGTCGGGTGCTGGAAACGGCAAGGATGGATCTAGTAAAACTACTACTAAAACATGTTATTACTGTAAAGAACCGGGTCACTTTAGGAATAATTGTCCGGTGAGGAAAAACAAGTCCCAGGCTGCTGTAGTTGAAGAGAAACCGAATGAGAGCTATAATTCAGAGGAAGATTTAGCATTAGTCAGTTCTGCTAGGTCTGATGATTTATCTGATAACTGGGTTCTAGATTCGGGGTGTTCGTTCCATATGTGTCCACGTCGAGATTGGTTTGATACATATGAACCTCGCAATGGGGGTATGGTTATAGTCGGTAACAATGCTCCATGTAAGGTCACAGGTATTGGTTCCATGAGGTTGAGGACTGTTGATGGGCGGAGGTTAACTTTGACTAATGTACGGCATGTTCCTGCTTTAGGAAAGAATCTGATTTCATTGGGTACCCTGGATGACTTGGGGTACAATGGTGTGTTTTCAGATGGGGAGTTGTGTATTTTCAGAGGTTCTGAGTTGGTACTTAAGGGTATCAAAAGGAACACCCTCTATGTTTTTGAGGGTGTTACACTGCCTAGTTCTGCGGTTTGCGCATCTGTATCTCACCAGGAGATGACTAAGATTTGGCACATGAGGCTTGGTCATATGGGGGAGAAGGGGATGCAGCTATTGTCCAAGAGGGGTCTTCTATCCGGGGTCAAGGTTGCCAACCTTGAATTTTGTGAGCATTGTGTGTTTGGTAAGAAACACAGGTCAAAGTTCAGCAAGGGTGCTCACATTACTGATGCAGTGCTCGATTACATCCATTCAGATTGCTGGGGTCCATCTAGAGTTGAAGGTATGGGAGGTTACCACTATTTTGTGTCATTTGTTGATGACAAGTCCCGATACACATGGCTTAGGTTGCTTAAGTCAAAGGATGAGGCCTTCAAAGTTTTCAAGCAATGGAAAGCTTTGGTGGAAAATCGACAAGGAAGGAAGATCAAGAAGCTACGAACGGACAATGGGCTAGAGTTTTGCAAAGACGAGTTTAATCAGTTCTGTGCAGATGAGGGTATAGGTCGGCATCATACTGTCAGGAAGACACCACAGCAGAACGGTGTAGCAGAACGGGTTAATCAGACACTGCTAGAGAGAGTTCGATGCATGCTCTCTAATGCAGGGCTTGGGAGGAGGTACTGGAGTGAAGCTGTGTTAACAGCTTGTTATGTCATTAATAGGGGTCCTCATTCTGGAATTGATTCCAAGATTCCGTTTGAGATCTGGAGTGGTAAGTTGCCTAATTTTTCGAATTTGAAGATTTTTGGTTGTGTTGCTTATTATCATGTTATTGAGGGTAAGCTGGATCCACGAGCCAAGAAGGGGTGTTTTGTTGGGTACGGGGATGGTGTGAAGGGGTTTAGAATTTTTTCACCTTCGGAGGGTCGGGTCATTCTTAGTAGGGATGTTACTTTCGATGAAAACACCATGTATTCAATTAAAAATGCAGAGATTTCAGATTTGAGAAGGGAAGGAGACAATTTATTACAGACAGATGGGGTACTTGAGGTACATCAGTCTACCATTGCTGATTTACCTCGGGTACAATATATTGATGATGATGCTGATGTTCCAGTGCCGGGTACTCCTGAACCTGAGATTACTCCTACTCATTCTAACTCTGGGGATGAGGTGGAGCAATCTAATCAGGGGTCATCTAGTCAACCTGACACCATTCTTGAGATGCCTAAACGAGTTATCAAGAAGCCTGTTAGATTGATTGAAGAGATGGAGGGAAGAAATTGCTGTGTTGATGCGATGACAGGTTATGCATTGAGTGTAGCTGATGATGTAGAGTCATTTGAACCTGCCACATATAAACAAGCAATTAGTTGTAGTGAGTCTGCGCAATGGCTTGCCGCAATGGGTGAAGAGATGCAGTCTCTTTACAAGAACAGAGTGTGGGAACTGGTAAAAGTACCGGAAGGGAGGAAGCTTGTGGGTTGTAAATGGATTTACAAGAAGAAAGAAGGGTTGTCGGAAACTGAGCAAATACGTTTTAAGGCTAGGCTAGTTGCTAAGGGGTTCAGTCAGGTAGAAGGGGTTGATTTTGTTGAGATATTCTCACCTGTGGTTCGACATACTTCTATCCGTGTGTTATTGTCAATTGTAGCACATTTTGATCTTGAGCTGGAGCAGTTGGATGTTAAAACGGCTTTCCTTCATGGCGATTTGGAGGAGGAGATTCTGATGAAGCAGCCCGAAGGATTCGAAGTTCCTGGAAAGGAACACTATGCCTGCAGATTGCTAAAGTCATTGTATGGACTTAAGCAATCCCCCCGACAGTGGTACAAAAGGTTTGATTCTTTTATGGTTTCACAAGGTTTTGACAGGAATTCATATGATTGCTGTGTGTATCATAGTAAGCTGGATAATGGTTCCATGATTTATCTTTTGTTATATGTTGATGACATGTTGGTTGCCACAAAGAATAAATCTGATATTGCTAGATTAAAGGAGATGCTTAACTCGGAGTTTGACATGAAAGACTTGGGTGCAGCTAGGAAGATTTTGGATATGGAGATCTACAGGGATCGGGCTAGAGGTAAGCTTTTCTTGACTCAGAAAAGCTACATTGAAAAGATTTTGTCTCGTTTTGGGATGGAAAAATCGAAGCCTATAAGTACGCCAACTACTGTTAGTTGTAAGTTGTCTTTGTCTATGTCACCTCAATCAGAGGAGGAGTTGTCTTATATGTCTAGAGTTCCATATGCAAATGCGGTTGGTTGTTTGATGTATGCTATGGTCTGTACTAGGCCGGATATTGCGCATGCCGTTAGTGTTGTAAGCAGGTTTATGGCTCGACCTGGGAGGGAACACTGGCAAGGGGTGAAAAGGATTTTTCGCTACCTGAGAGGGACAGCTGATATTGGTCTTGTGTACGGGAATGATAAGGAATGCTTGGTCACTGGGTACAGTGATTCTGATTATGCAGCTGATGTGGATACCAGGAGGTCTGTGACTGGTTATGTGTTCACTTTGGGTGGTTCTGTGGTTAGTTGGAAGTCTACATTGCAGTCATCAGTTACGTTGTCAACTACTGAAGCTGAGTATATGGCTTTAACTTCTGCAGCTAAGGAGTCTATTTGGCTCAAAGGCCTAGTAGGTGAACTGGGTATTGCACAGGATTTTGCTACAGTGTATTGTGATAGTCTAAGTGCGATTTGCTTAGCTAAAGATCAAGTACACCATGATCGGACGAAGCACATTGATGTCAGGTATCATTTCTTACGTACTGACAAGAGGATTAAGGTGAAGAAGATTGGGACTGCTGACAACCCGGCTGATTTCTTCACTAAGCCTGTTCCGTTGAGCAAGTTTAAACATTGCTTAGACTTGCTAAATATTGATTACTACGTGATGTAGTAGGCCCTGAGGGGCGAAGTTGGGGAGCTCCTGGTGTAGGTGTGTTGGCCTTAAGGTGGAGCTTGCCCGGGGCTTGTGATGCAGGTGGAGCATTATGAGTTGTTATACTTGGAGACGAGTATGTGATGGGTCTTGGTTGAAGACTTATCGGGATGTATGGCTTATGCATGAGTCCTGCATCGGGTTTGGCTTGAGATGTTTTTTCACTATGTCTTGATGGGGTTGTTTGCTGACTACGAGTTCTCGTCAAGGTGGAGATTGTTGATAAGTATATTAGGTGACTCGTACTTCGTAGCTTTGTCCGCCCGATCGGGCGGACATTGCCCGGTCTGACCGGGCGGAAGAAGAAGAGGTGCCTGGCAAATTCGTTGAAGAAGCTGCTCTCGCGCCCGACCGGGCGAGCCTTCGCCCGACCGGGCGAGCCTTCGCCCGATCGGGCAGACCTTGCCCGGTCTGACCGGGCGGTGGGGGTTGGATACGTTGAAGCATTCGTATGGAGTTTTCTTCTCGCGCCCGATCAGGCAGACCTTGCCCGGTCTGACCGGGCGGAGAAGGAAAAATACGGAACGCGGATTTTGCGGTTTTAGGTTATCTTATTTTATTATCTTTTTGCCCAAGTATCTTTTAATTAGGGATTAATATAAAACCTCCCTAATATCAGTATTAGGGTTAAGAGAGAGAGAGTGAGAGCCGTTCTTGAGAAATACAAGAATCATCTTTGTAATCTTTGCAGTTTATAGTGAAATCATTCGATCTCGGTGCCCGTGGACGTAGCTATCACATCGATAGTGAACCACGTAAATTCTTGGTGTTGTTCTTATTGTTTGCATTGAATTTCTTTATTGTTTTCTTGTTTGTTTACGACCTTTGCTTCCGCTGTCGCACAACAGTAAACTTGCTCTTGGAATTTGTTTCTAGTGTCTAATAATACCTTTGGTAATTTGTTAAAAAAAACTTAGAATTAGAGTTGTTACAAAATCACTTAAGAGCTATCAATTTTCAATATGTGATGAATATCATTAATATGACTAATTTTAAGTTCATTACACGGCTTATGTTGTACAGAATAAAATTCGAGAATTGATAGTGATACCGATGATTGGATTTGGTGCCTATCCTTGTGATTCACAACTTTATCTCATAATTGGAATGAGAGGATATCGTCAGCTCCAAGAACTTATGGGGTTTGGGTGGATGACCCAAACCGTTTGGGTCATCCACCCCTCTCATAAGCAGTCTATTCTAATCAAGGAATTTATGTGTACCATAATTTGTTTGCGGTCCTACTCGGCTCCTTTGTAATCCACGATCATCTTGTTATCTATGATTATCTGATCTCTGCTTTTAACTGCTAGAGCTTTCACAAAATCTACTCTTTCCTCTCTCCGTTTCAATTTGTTCTCTTTATTTTGAATTTTTTTTATGTGATAAAATTGATCAAATTAGAAAGAATAATACGAAATGGAGAAAATAATTTTCTTTATCTAGTCAAATAAACTTGGACCAATAATAATAGTTTTATTTATTTACTATCACGACATTATATTGAATTATTATATATTATTAGTGACCCTATCTTTGGGTAAGTGAAAAGAATTGAGGATTATATGAGTCATAAAAATTAGATACGAAAAGTTTACCAAAGAGAACATGGGACAAGTATATTGAATTGTTGATCCACCCTAAAAGACAAATGTACGGAGAGCTAAATTACTAATACATCCTAGAAAAACTACTTCCTACTATGTTTTTATAATCAAATCGTTAGAAAACTTGTTTCAAAAAAAAAAAGTCGTTAGAAAACTTATATGTTGGGAAAATTTATTCATGAAAAATCTTGCTAGATTTAGTATTTTACATTAGTGACTTTTTATAATTTTTCAAAAGAATAATTAAAGATATTAATAATAAAAATATAGTGTAAAAACTCTAATGAAATCATGAGTTTGGTTATGTCTTATACTCTTATGTGATTGGAGTTTAAGTATGAACCGAGAGCATGTGGAATTGTGGATATAGTTTGCCCACCTTATACTCAACTCCTCCCCACCACCGACTTATATAGAATTATTATTATTATTTATTATTATTATTATTATTATTATTATTATGGTATCAATTTAATGTTAAACCTTCACAAAAAAAGTTGCTCTTAAAATTAGAAAAAATAGGATAGTGAGGAAGAATATTCGACTCCTAAGCTTAACCCTTCTTTTAAGATATTCTCTCACTTAACCTTAGTTTACTAGAAACTTGAGCAGTAAAAAACTGTGTTTTAGTCGGTTTAGAGTTAGATACGACGTCTTTTTACTCGCTCAATAAAATCTCAAATCACCTGATTTTCACCCCTTCGTTCAAACAACGCAGAAATATACCAGCCATTTTTCAATTTCTAGGGTTTATACTTTCCAATTCCTAATCAAATTCACAATTAAAAAATCTCTTCAAAACTTTAATTTTTTCTAGATTCTTATGAATTAATGCTAGGGTTTTCTTTGAGTTTTGAATAATCTGAATAAAATCCCCAAATTTTGTTGAATTTGGAGAGAGAAAAAGAGGAGAGAGAAAGTGATTCGTAATGCAGACGGAAGCGAGGGTAGGAGTAGTCGTTGATGGAGGACAAAGAGATGGATGTGCGCGTAAATACGTACAGGTGAAGCAACAACAAAAAGCCCAAATTGGGACGGTTTCTCAGCTTCTTGCCGGCGGAATTGCCGGCGCCGTTAGTAAAACTTGCACCGCACCGCTTGCTCGTCTCACCATTCTTTTTCAGGTGAGAGAATCTCAAACTTTTTCATATTTTAGGTGAGAGAATTTGATTTTGCAATGTTCTTGAGTATCCCTTTTGTTGGGTTCGGTTCAGGAAGGAGGGTATTGTTGATTTTTGTAATGGGTTGATGTAATTTTATGTTATTCGAAGGGTTAAGGATGAAATTATTTTTATTTATGTTTTAGAAAAATTAAGTAATTTGGGGGTTTTTTTGATTTTCTGTACAATTTGGGAGTATAAGGTTTTGCCCTGTTTTGTTGGGTGTGTGAAAATGTTGAATTTACTATTTCCTTTCTTGAAGGGTTTTCTGAATTATTTGTTGAATGATTGAGTTGAACTTGGTGTAGATTGTTAGATTTTATTTGATAGTAAATTATATGATGAAGGCAAGTGCTGTAGTCAGCTGGAAGTTGAGTATAAAGTTGGCCGGAACTCGTTTGGGTGGAGTTTAGAGGTTGTTCTCTTCAAGTTGGTTTAGCATCGGAACTTATTTTGTTCGAATTTTGAACGTATGGAATTTGTTTTATCTGAGGATAAGATACTTATTTTGGCTGAAGTAAGTCTAAGTTAGTAAGTTGAGGAGAACAATGCCTTAATGCTATCTGACCGGTGAACACCAAATGAACTATGTTGCTGTCCAATGTAGCTAGTCACAGCATTTGTTGTTTCTGGAATGTGATTCTGATTTGTGATTATTGTTTAAAGATTTAATGGTTTATTTGAATTCAGAGCTTTTTAATCAGAGTAAAAGTGATGATTACTTCTTTTCTTATTGTGTATGGTTTGACAACTGGTAGTGGTGATCTGTGAATTTTTTTCCTAATGTGTCATCAATATGGATTTTTATTACTTAGTGATGTTCTTATTATTATTGTCTCTAATTAGAGTTCACAAGAGGTATTTACTGTTTGTCTTTAGTCCTTTTTGAGGTGTTTGTTTAAACTTCTAAGATTGTACTTTGTTTCAGCTAAGATTGATAGTTTAGCTGTTTTAATTTGGCTGCTCAGAAACTTGTCAATTTCTCTATTATTTCAACATGGTACTGCTTTTAGGTGCAAGGCATGCATTCAGATGTAGCAACATTGAGGAAAGCTTGCATCTGGAGGGAGGCTTCACGAATTATGCACGAGGAAGGATTAAGAGCTTTCTGGAGAGGAAACTTGGTTACAATAGCTCATCGCCTTCCTTATTCCTCCGTCAGTTTCTATTCATACGAACGATACAAGAATGTTGGTATCCGCGTTCCATAAGCTTACCGCACATTCCCACACTACTAAACTTGTTTGGGTGCTGGATTGTAGATCTGACATTTTCTTTTAATATTTCTTGCAGCTTCTGCAGTCATTTCCTGGATTAGAAAGTAGTAGTGAAAGTATAGGTGCACATATCTTTGTGCGGCTGACTGGTGGCTTTTTAGCTGGAGTAACATCTGCAGCTGCTACTTATCCTCTAGATTTGGTGAGGACACGGCTTGCTGCACAGGTAAATTTCCTCAGCCAAACTCTATTATTTGGGTCATTATCTTGTTTGTTGTGTGAAGATATTGTTGTACATTTCCTCAATCACCCATATCTGTTTTTGCTTTTTTTTTTTTTTCATTTCATTTCTCATCTGGGCTGTTGGACTGCTTTTATGCTGTATGTATTTGTTGATGTGGATATTAGTATTCAATATGATGTAATACACCTGTACCTTTAGTCTTTAGCTTTCTGGGGACCAACAATTCTTCTAAACTTCTTGCCAACCAACACTCTATCAGATACAAGATACTTCCAAGGATCAAAGTAGAACCCCTCAGGATCAAAACGCTAAGTCAGATATTAAATATTATTAAGTTTATGATTAGAAAACAAAGAACAAAAAATTAATTGTTTTTTGAATTAAAATGTCAATGATTTATATGAACACATATTTTTTGCCTTTTTCCCGGCCAAATTCTTTATTTAGGGAGGATTGTTTAATTTCTTTTCAATTTTTGACTATTTTAATAGACGAGCTAGGTGTGTTGGGTTTGCGCACAGTTTCACATACAACCCATTTAAAAGCACATTTTAATTGTTCTGGTTTTGGGTTGAGATATTTGTCCATATTTAACATGCTTAATTTCGTGTTAGGTTCATCATTTTAAATGACCCACTTCTACATGTTTTGTGCCGTATTTAAGTTATCCTTTTGTATGAGCTTTTACTAGTTCATGGTTTGAAAAGGAAGTAAGCAAGGCAGCGCCTGATCTGAAATAATTGGAAAAAAATAATGATCTGTCTGTTTTTCTGCTTTGTCATATTTATATGTGATTATTTGAACTCTTGATGAAGTGTTGCCTTAAAAGTAGTGATTGCATTAATATATCGTGGTTTTGCCTTTTGTCTCTCTCTGCATGGCTGTTGCTTATATCGATCAGTTGGCTTGGAAACCAGCGTAGTCAATCAATTTTGATCAAATGTTTAATCAGTCTCGACTCTCTTTTTTGTATTTATTAGTTTTCCAACTTTGTTTGCCATTCTTGCAGACAAATGTGACATATTACAAAGGTATATGGCATGCACTACGTACCATTAGTAAAGAAGAAGGTGTGCTTGGTCTTTATAAAGGGCTTGGGGCAACCCTTTTGGTAATCCCTCATTCTTATCTGACCTACATCTATGCTGTGCTATTGAAGTATGTTCCTCTAAACTGTTGATTTTCTAACTTTTCTTTTTAGAGTGTGGGGCCAAATATAGCGATCAGCTTCTCTGTATACGAGACTTTGAGGTCTCATTGGCAGTTGCAGAGGTGCTTAATGCATTAACTTTACTATAAGATGATATCAATATACTGTTTTTCTACTATCCATGTATAACTGATTTATTTCCATAATTTTGGACCACAGGCCCCAAGATTCCACTGTGCTTGTGAGTCTTGCTTGTGGAAGTATATCTGGTGTTGCGTCATCCACTGGTGAGCGAATCTAAATTTACGTTAAGAAGCTAATAGTTTTGTGCAAGTTTGCACATTTTTTTTGTTTTTAGCCATCTACTTATGTGTTATCTGAACAATTCGGAGCACCTGCTACTTTGACACGTCTAGGTGTTTGCACTTGACCGTTGATCGTTAATCTGGAGTGATTTTTGACCTTACTTGAATTCTTTTCCAATGACATGTGTGGCTGCCAATGTTTGACATTAACGATTGTTCTTTTTTTTTTTTTTTTGTTTGTTTGTTTATGCTGAAAACTGTCTACTGAATTTATTGTAGAGAAGGCCAGCATGGAAGAGAAATTTCTGGATGACTAGTTAGATATTTTTAACTTCGTTGTTTAGATACTCCTGCATATTGTGCAGAAGTTAATTCTTCTAGTTATTATGCTTTTGATGCAGAGAAACAGGCTGAGGTGCTGGCTCTGCACTAATGTCTAACAAGACTGACACTAGAGCCAGGAACCAGGAAGTTGTTTAATTTTTGCAAATGATTTTGCAGGGAATTAGATTAGAATTTATCTTAAATTCCTAAATCCTAATACTTGAATTTTATTGACTCTTTTGATTCAAAAGGGTCTTGCTTGGATTAATTTCATCTTCAAAAGTCTATCAAGCATTGCAGTTGGTCCCTTTTCTAGGGAAGCACCAGTCTCAGATGATTTGAAACCTGTTCTCCTATGCCAAATGTGAGAGGCTTCCTCTTGTGAGGTATGCTTCTCACTTAGGCTTTTCTGTGGTGGATGTGTACATGAAAGGCCAAGTCTTTTGAGTTCATCTATTACATAATTGCTTTGCTCATCTTTTTGATTTCCATGAAGCTTTGATTTGTGTGTTGATAATATGATTAGTCCTCTTCCAATGTTGGGCATTAGCTAGCAATTTCTACTTTATAGTTGTGGCAAGTAATGGTGATCACTGCCACCTATTCACGTCATCTTTGTTGGTAATTTGATTCTGTTACATATCTTGTGTTGAAAACCTAAATGCACAATATTTTGTACTTCATTGATGTTACACTCCTGTAACTGCAGCAATATTTCCCATTGATTTGGTAAGACGAAGGATGCAATTGGAAGGAGCTGGTGGTCATGCACGTGTATACAACACCGGTATTTTTGGTACATTTAAGCATATCATCCGGACAGAAGGATTGAAAGGACTGTACAGAGGGATTCTCCCTGAATTCTATAAGGTTGTCCCCAGTGTAGGCATTGTTTTCATGACGTACGAGACAATGAAGAAGTTTTTGTCGGATAATGCTGTAGATCAGTAGCTTCCTGTTGGAAACAAATGTTCCAGTAAGGATGTATTCAGATTTGACATAGAAGTTTTTCGATATGCTGCTCCATTGATGTATTTGCAACCTCTTTTTACTTGGTCTAGACCGCTAGTATGGTGGCAAATTTTGCTCCTGTCACCCTTAGAAAATTTACTTGTATACATCATTGAAAAATGTTTTATAAATGTTAAATCGTGTGGAAAGTGTGCTCATCTCCTTTCTTAGATATTTCCCTCATTTTGAAGTCCTTGTATGAGAATAGTTTAGAATCATGATGTAAAGGAGTTTGTAAAGCAATATTCTTCTATATAGAAAACAAGCTTGTTTGGTGGAGATGGTGGGGAAGTCACTATTACAAGTTCAAGCCCCGCCCTTGGGAGTAGGGAGATTCTCCGACCTCTCTCTCGCTTTTCAAGCATAGATCTATTTCTAGGAAAATGTTTCAATCCTTTTGCTCTTCTTTGACTTGTTTTATTTCACTTAAAAAAACTTCAAATGAAAAGAACACAGAGGATTAGAGGGCAACAAGCTCATGATATCGCTAATTTTTTAGTGGTATTGCTTTCGTGTCTTTTTCATATAAAGGAAAAGGTCTCTTGTAAATTATAAATTTTGTAAAACTCTATACTGATATGCTAGGTTGCATCGATACGGACACGAGTACGATACGGACACGGCAATCCTAAAATAGGGGACACGGGTACGGCAAATAACAAGACAAATAATATATCAAAAAAGGAGATTTTGACAACCTATTCAATAAAATACTAAATAATTAACCTTAAAACAAGTCATTTACCGTAGCTAAATAATTCTCCTAATTCACATACGCTATGAAATGTGCTATGAAATGTGTTTTGAAGACGCTCATATTATAACTCTTACCTTTTTCTCTCATACTTTACCTTAACTTTCTAATTAAAAAAGTTAAAAAGATGAGGTGACATATCAAAATGCAAACTGGATCGTATCATAGTAGGATACGATTCGTCTCAAAATGTCTAAATATATTAAAAAAACCGGAAGCAGTTTTTATGTGTGTCCGTCGTGTGTCGAACGAGTGTCGGTATCCGAAACGGTGTCGGACCCAGACACAGCTGTTGGACGAAGTGTCCGAGCATCCTAGCTGATATGTTTGTCATAGTAGTTTGGGTCGAATATATCTTTGTTTTTTACCAAATGTATTTAATTAAATTTTAATTGATATGTAACAAAGATATACACATCAAAGTTGATATGCAGCAGTTTCCATACTTTTCATATTCTAGAATTTCTGTTTAACCCTAGAAATAATAGATTAAATTTGGAATTTTATTTAATATGTGTTTTAGTTAACTTTTTACAAATTTAATCGAAGATACTTATTCTTATAAGTTTTTTTTTTGTTTTTTTTTTGACAAGAAGCCCTGACAAAGAAAAAGCCTGAACAACCAGCCAGTGAGCCGGGGCAATCCACTGACGAAGAACCTTGTGAAGCTTGCAAACGGAGAACCGCAAGAGAGAATCGAATATTGAAGCAACCAGGGGTAAGAAATATCGCCTTCACGACAATTCTCAGAAGGGAAAAAAGATTGGAACAGTCGGAGTAGATAAGGAGACAACGAAAGCCTCGACGATCGGCAGCCCGAAGAGCCCACAAACAAGCCTGTTACTCAGACTGAAGGGCCGAAGAGGAGTGACAAGCTCTCGAGCAACCACCCAAAAGAGAATCTGAAACATCCCTAAAAATCCAACCTGCTCCCCCCCTAAGGTCGCGAGCACTCCATGCCCCATCAAACAGAAGACAGACATCAAATGCAGAGGAGGAATTACCCTACAAATAGCAAGAATCAAAGTTTACCAAAGTAGGGGGAGACGGTCTCCCTAACGAGCAAATGAGGGACCTGAATCCTTGCACCGAAACACTCCTAAATATCCATTCCTGCACCAAATGAAAAATTGTGCCAGGAGACAACACTGCCTGTCTAAAACTCTTATGATTACGCGCAAGCTAGACTGTCCAATAGAAGGAGACCAAACCGTCCCAATTCCGAGAGGAACGAAACTCAAAGACTGTATCAACGAACCAATCATTAAAAGGTTTCCCATGCAACAGAGGAGGAGAAAAGGCAATTGGAGCACAAGCCCAAAGATGGGAAGTGAAGGAACAGTCACGGAAAAGGTGGTCTGACGTTTCACGTTCCCGGCAACATAACACACAATTTGGATTTATCGGAATTCCCCGAAGCTGCAGATTCCCAGAGAAAGGCAGAGCATTGTGAAGCAATTTCCAACAAAAACACTAAATTTTTGGGAGAAGAGGCAACCCCTAGTAATGCTTCCACCAAGAGGCGGGAATTGCACCCGAGACCCCTGAAGATACTGAATGATTAAGCAACATAGCATAAGCAGACTTGGTAGTGAAAGATCCATCCCTAGAAAACTTCCAGTAGACGAAATCGTCCATCGAAGAGGGCGATCCAAAGCTAGGATGCGGAGCGCCGTAGTATTATCAAAAAGCCAATGAACTGAGGTCGAATCCCATGCGTAAGAACGCGGATTAATTATTGAAGAAACATGTGTTGGAGAAGCCGACACACTAGAACCGTCACGAAAATTAACAGGCCCCCCGGAACCCAGTCATCCTCAAGTATTCGAACCTTAGTGCCCGAACCAACTTTCCAGGCTATTCCTCGATCAAGAGTAGACAAACCAGTTAAAAGGCTACGACAAGCCCGAGGAATCGTCCAAGTCTGAAAAGAACGCAGGGAGGGATACTTAGTAGTAAGCATCCGCGAAACCAAAAGCTGAGAGTGTTGGTGAATATGCCAGTATTGCCGAGCGAGTAGCGTAAAGTTAAAACTTTCCAACCTACGAATACCCAAACCACCTAGATCTTTAGGCAAATGAAGAAGAGACTTCGAACGCATTGCTAAACCCCGAGACCGAGAATCAAATTTCTACCAAAATCGTGCCAACAGGTTGTCAATGCGAGGACAAACCGAAGGCGGAACCTTAAAAATCGACAGGATATGATTGAAAGAAGCAACCAAAATCGAATTAATAATGACTAATTTGGTAGCAGAAAACAAACCAACAACTGCAAAATCAAAAAGTCGCTTGACCACTTTATCAATCAAAAAGCCAAAGTAATTACTACGACTTAACTCAACCGGTTACCCCAAATAAGAACCAAGAGAGGGCTTGCAATAAAGTTTCAGACTACAGGAAAGATAGTCTCGATAATCTTATGGAGTATTCGGGCTAAACTTGACAAACGACTTGCAGTTGTCACGAGAGAGCCATAAGATTGTCATAAGCGGAAGGAGAAACCTGTAGGAACAGCAACGAGTCGTCCGCGAAGAACAAATGAGAAATCGAAGGGGCACCCCTTGAAATACTGATCCCCCGAATAAAAGAGTCCCTTTCAGCCTTCCTGAGCATGGCAAATAAAACTTCCATACAGAGGACAAACTAATAGGAAGAAAGCGGATCCCCCTATCGAAGGTGACACTGCGGCTAAAAGGCTGGGGAAGGATTACCATTGACTAATACCTGATAAGAGACTGTCGAGACACACTGACTAATGATATGAATCTAGTAAGTTGGGAAACCATAAGCCTGTAGAACCCGATCATAAGCTTTATTCATGTCCAATTTGATAGCTGCAAAAAACCTCTTCTTGGCCTTTGAATTGTTCATAAAAGAAATGACCTCATGAGTAATGAACGCGTTATTTGATAAAAAAACGACCCAGAACAAAGGCGTTTTGATAATCAGCCACCAAACTAGGCAGAACCACGCGAAGGCAATCTGTGAGACACTTCGCAATACACTTATAAATCACGTTGCAGAGACCAATTGGCTGAAACTGAGAAATTAGTTCAGGATTTTCTACTTTCCTTGTTCTTTTCCCGAAAGTATAAGTATTTTGTTGGAGTAATGCATTATGCAAAAAGTAACATAAGGTAATAGGGCTATACAATTGGCTTTGATTTTGTATTTGAAAGAACAAGACATTAAGTAAGCAAGGATGAAGCGCTGGAAGAACTTCCTTCCAAAAGAATAATTCAAGTTCAGAATTCCTTAATCGTATCAATCATGGTAATTCAATTGATAACAATAACAGTAAATAAAATGCAAGTGACTTCTCAACAAATATACGGGCAGTACTTGGACAGTTTATTACGTAATCGTGTAGAATCTAATAATGTGATGTGTAAATGACCCCATAAAAACCAAGGGTGGAAACTCAATTTAAGATTTCCATAGTCAGCTGATGTTGAATACTCGAGAGTTGAGACCAAAGAACAGAGGAACTATCCTGTATGTTAAATCCGTCAGAGTGAATGTAATAGGAAGAGAAAGGGGTGAAAGGAGGGAGCTTGGTTCTTTATATTGGAAAACTTCCAGTGAGATGTATATGATTTAAGGTACGACGTAAACCATAGGTATTGACAGCTGCATTGGCTGCTCTAAATCCTCCACCGTAAGCTGGAGAAGCATCATGGGCAATCTGGTGCAGGAAAAACTCACCCAACTTCTTCTCAACCTCAGAAGTCCTGCCTTTTTTCGAAGATGAATATGAAGATGTAGATGTAGAAGCTGTAGATGTGGATGGCATGTTTCGAAAACCTGGCATCACCTCCGACTCAAGCCACATATACGAAAGCACTTGACAAATACCCTCCTCAACCTCAGGACTAAGATTACGGTAGCCTGCACAATTTCATAAATCAGTTTCAGGTGTAAGTGAATGATTAATGTTCTTGCTAAATGACAAAAATTATTACAAAGTAATTACTCGAATATGTTTCTCATTTCAAAAGCATTACCAACTTTGAGGATAGCTAGTGTATTTCTATAATGTAAACAATACCTTTAAGACGTAACCATCCATGCATCAATTCATGAGCAAGTATAGCACCCGTCAACAACCTGTATGCAAACAAAGCAAAAATTATCAACGATTAGTTGAAGAAAATTAATAGAGCTAATTGAAATTCTTATAATGAATTGTAGCCAGCAGCCTCCACTGTGAGCTAGGTTCAATATTGTAACAATCATCAGTAGTGAAGCTTACCTAGGCAAACCATAGAGAACAAGAATTGCTGTCACTTCACATTTTCGGGTTAGCTTCTGGGGTTGTGTTCTCATTCCTACCAGTTTATGTCCTCCAATTTTTGGCCTTCTAAGTATCTGGTTGATTTGGCAAAGGATAAATGGTTGGCATAGATAGATAATAAATCTATATATAAAAGGGGAATGAGGATCATAAGGACATACACTGGTCACAGTCTGCTCTTCAGATAGACATAACCCTCTGGTCTCTGGCATGTGATGAAAGCCCTTGAATACAATCATTCACAGGGTTTAGAGATTGTTCACAAAAAAAAAAAAAATATTAAAAAAAATTAGAGAAACTGCTAATTACATTTTTCTCCCCTACAATAGCTTCATTTAGGGCTTGTCTTTCAACCAAAAGCATGGGAATTTGTTGATCAATTCTCATGTTCATCCCTTCATAATAATCCCTGATAGCATGATAGAGAGGTTGACAATCTCCGGTGTCCATGATGGCAGATTCCATGCACTCTAAGCATAAACTCCTTCCATCTCCTAAGGCAATGTACCTTGTATTCCAAGACTTTAAAATAGAAAAAATAAGGAAACATAAGCCAAGGGAAAGCAGAAGTTACATATATCAGAAAGAGAGATATTGCAATCCACAATGCAGTATTCTATTAATCTGTTACTGAAATTTGGTAAATGAACAAGATTTATTGCTGTAATGTACCTCTAAACGTTCACAACTGCAGCAACGAGCTGTGTGATCATGCTCATGTGAGGGACAATATTTCTGTGTCCAAAATGGGTGGCATCGATACTCAATTAAACCAGCTGCATTTGTTGGGATCTGAAAATGAAGGATAAGATATACTTCATTGTCTACTCAGTGATAAAACCTCATTCTGATAGGAAAACCTATTAATATTTAATTCCAACATTCACTATCACTAGGCAAATACTACATATAACAAATAAGAATAGAACTGGAAAGGGCCACAGATCAGAGGACAAAAGTTGGCATTTCCTTACAAATTGGTGGCAAACTTCACACTTCGGATGAGTTAACTCCTTGAAACAGGTTTTATGGTATGGATCCTTCCCTGACAAAGAAAACTTGAATCAACGGAAAAAAGTAAGACTTGTTTCAACATAAGGAAATAATTGATAATATTTTAAACAGAGATAATACATTGGTATAACAGGGTAGAAACAAATTACAACCGTGGTTGAGGAAAGTCGGAAGTGACATTATAGAAGCATGCAAAATTGTAAACATAGATACAATTTATTATTATATAGGAAATATTGGACTACCTCATGCTCAGTGATGGGGAGACGGCAAGAGCGACAGCAAAAGCATTCTGGATGGAAAAATGTTCCCATGCATCCAAGATAATTTCCATACCCAATTTCACCGTTGCACCCACTGCATAATCTGCAATCCAGAGCATTAACCATAAGTCAGCATATGCATTTCAAGATTGGAGATGTCCATAAAGTAGAAATACCAGAATTGAAATTTTAAATCTAAGATTTTATTAACATTAAGGCCATAAAGGCATAAAGCCAATGGAGACTTATTCTCAAATTTCTATTTATGAGCAACTGATAACATTCAATGGTTCACAGCAAACATCAGAAGACTTGTGTGATGAAAAAAAGGGAACACAAAGAACATTGTGAATCATTGAATGGGACTGGAAAGAATGGGACTGGATCATGAGGATAATCAGGGTAAGTGTTCTTTGTGTTCCCTTTTTTCCATCACACAAGTCTTCTAATGGGACGGGAAGAGAGAGATTTTGTACCTATAGCTTCTAGGAAAGAATGGGACTGGATCATAAGGAGGATAATCAGGATAAGTGGGCATATAGGGGATATAGGAAGGTCTATGCAGACTATCTTGTAGACCTCTTGCTGTATCGTCATCATTGTCTGTGCGCCGTTTATAGCCTGAAAGTGCGGATACAGCTCATTCAGTGACAGGATCAGAGAGAAAAGGGTGAAGTAGTGTTAACTTGGATAATGTGTGTTAGAAAGAAATATTATAGAATGAGAAGCACAGCCATTAGGCTCAGTTCTTATTTAACAATACCTACCACCTGGTCTTTTGAAGTCATCTGACAAAGAGAGAGCAAGCGCACGGTCTAACTCATCCTGGTCTTTACTTGCTCTAGGCCGATCATCCTGATGCCATTGTAAATACAGGTTAGGCTTTTACATTATATAATATGAGCTAACTTGTACTAAAAAATCAAAACAGCAGACGAAATCAATTCCAATATAAGGGACTGTATGAGAAAAATGGTTATACTGAAAATTATGTTCTATGTTGGGGCCAATGCTTGTTCCTGGTAGCTAAATATGCAAATTTGTTTAATGTTTGAAAGTTCAAGCGACGTGGATGAGAAGAATAGACCTGTTTCTAACAGCATATAAGTGAAGGTAAAAATTCTGCATCCACTATTTATTGTAAATAAGAATCAGTCTGTAATTTACCTGAAAGTGAATTCTATCTTTCACAGCCCATTAGGTAGTCAGCTATAAATAGTGGTAATGGAAATAAATTTAACATTTTAACTGTAATTTGGCATACAGAGTAACATCCTAATGTCCATAGTAATGCAATCTCATCCCCAAACTTGTGTGTTTTTTCATAAATGTCCATTACCACCCAATACCACTCTCCCAAGTAGTAATGGATGGTAATGAAAATTTGTGAAGAATAAGAGATAATTTGAGGGTGAATTAGCATTACCATGGGATTGGACATTGATTTTTCTTACATAGCAATACACAAATTCATTCTCATTACCACTATTTATCACCACTTACCAATCAGGTTGTAGACTTTTTGTCTTCTAACCGCTCAATACTTTGGGCTAGCAAAAGACTAACACAGAAAGGGAAATTTTGTAAGGAGCTTATGATCTGTTGATCTAAGCAACATGTTTGTTCATTCTTCATCAGATTATGTAAGCTTAGTTTAGTTGATGTTCACCAATGCAAAGAGTGGTACACAATTAATAAATCCAAAACAACAAAGGTGTGCTATGTGACAAGAAAATTAGTATCTCCTTTGAAGTTCACGTGTTTGAAACTCCGTTCTGTGCCACAATAGCGCTTACATAATAAAGTGATGCATCTTTTCATAGTAATTTGTGTTGAGACTGTTGGCTGAATTTGCAAATTAAGATTATATACAAAGTCATCATCTATAAACTAATATGGAAGGAGGGAAAATGATACTTATATTTAATAGAGCATTACTAGAAACAGGGAACTAGGGATCATATCTAAACTAAAAAACTTTTTTTTTTTTTAAGGAAATAAACAAGGTTCTCGTTACTTTGATACAATTCATAAAAAGTAGGATTACAGCTATAAAATAAGTAAAGATATCATTTTTCCCAGGATATGATTCATGATCTGAAATATGTATTGCTTGTAGCAGGCTCACAGAGAATTTGGGATGCCTGGACTCCAAGCAACCCATTCCCCTCCTCTTAACCGAAAAAGGAAAAGCAAAAAAGGAGAACAAAAAAGAAAAGGAACCCCTGTATGATCTTTTTCTTGGTCACCCTTAAATATCTTATGGTATAGTAAAAATGTTATAAAATGAAATCCTTGCAAAATACAATGTAAAAGGAAACTTTACAGAAATTACATGTTTTTTTCCTGTTTAAAAAATTCAGCTTTTGGGTCCAACTCTTCTACTGTAGTAAATATACCATTACCACTTTCTTAAGGAGCACATTTTCACGTTTCATCAATTATAAAAAAAGTGGGACAAAAGACTAAAGTGCAATAGCACCATTTAGTGCCTACCTAACAGGATTGAACTTTGGAAGATATGATGTAGGCAATAACCAGCTTCAATTATTCTACATGACATATTAAAAAGAGTTTATTTGTTACTCAGACATTATTTGCTAGTTAGAATTACGAGTACTTGTAAAGTTGTAATAAAAAGATCAACCCGGTTGCAAAAGATATATAAAGCTGTGTTACATGTATTACCAATGATCTAGAAGGTGCCCGCCAAACCATATTTTCATCCTCGAGAAACTGTGGATGTCGACCACCAGCTGATGAGCCGCGACTAGACCCCCCACCACCACCTCCTCCGCCACTACTGCCTTTAAAAATCTTACTCAACCATTTCATAAACCGCGACTTCTTCTCTGTATTCGGATGAGCCGAAAGCCCTGCTCATCATTATTACAAACCACTTCAGAACTTCATAACTATACTCATCATCTAAATTTCAATCAAGACATAATTTTTTTTCTAAATAACAATAATATTACTAAGTCCCATATAATTAAACAGAACATGATTAAGCGCGAAGCTCGAGAGTTCATTGAGGCATTTTATCGAACACATGGCTGTATACCCAAATACAAATTAAAAAAAGGCGGCAAAAGGAAAGAAGCTTACCATAAATACAAGGCTGAGAAAAGTGTTGAATTTCAGTGGAATCAGCCATGAAAATGGAAGTGTAAAGCTAATAAACCGCCGGAGTTTGAAGGGGGGAATCGAAAAGCGAGAAAGGGAGGTTTTATGGAATGAAAAGGACCCAAAAATTGAAGAGAGAGAAAAGGAAAGAAGAAGAAGAAGAAAGGAAGAAAAAGAAGTAAAGGGTGGGAAAATAAAGGAGTAGTACAGATTGAAGAAAGGGGGCATCGTAAAAAAAAGGCAAAACCCAGAAAAAAATAAATAAATAAATAAATAAAAGGAGAAATACAGAGAAGAGATTCTTGGCTTGGAAAAAGGAATGAAGAAGAGAAGAGAGAGAAAGAAAAGGATTGATCAAAGGGGAGGGAATCTATTGAGGAGGATGATCGTTGAAAAAGGTGGTTTAAACGGCTCAAAGAATTTGGGGAAATTCGATTTCTGTGGAACTGGGTTAAGGAATTATTTGGAATTATGGAATTTTTTTATTTTTTTTTTGTGTGTGTTTTAATGGAGGAATATGAATATCTTGTTTCTTTCTACTGTATCATTTGATTTGAATTTTAAGGGTTTTTCCCGGGTAAAAATTAAATTAGTGTTTTGAGTTTTTGACTCAGCTGGGGACGGCTAAAGTTTGATGAATGATGATTGTGCCTTTTTATTTTCAACCGTCCTTTTGCGAGGGCGTTGGGTCCGGATGGCTGAGAGAGTGATGATACGGTCATATGGATGATGTTACGCTGAATTGAGATAAAATGAACTGATATCAAAGTAAAAAATGAATTAAGTTAACTCCCTTGGAGTAGAAAAATAAGTTAAGTTGAGTTTAACTTAAATGAATTGAATAATTTTAAAAGAATATAATTTTAGTGGGGCAATTTTTTAGTAGAGACTAAAATGAGTATATTTAAATAGATTGACGGCGTGTTTTGTTTACTTTTTAAAATAAAAGTTTTGACGTAAACGTGATTTTTTTTTTTTTTTGGGTTAGCAGGTTAAGCACTTTGAAAGTGGGGGGATAGGTAAGGGAATCCCCACCCCAAAGTGTCTCTAGTGGGGTTTGATTCCACAACCACAAAACTTACCATTAGACCAGGCTATACTTGGTAAACGTTTTTTTTTTTTTTTTTGGTAAAAAGAAGACCCATCTTAGAAAGGAGATATAAGGGAAATCTCTTCTAGAATATGTTTGGTGCGATTCGACCCCTAACCTTACACCTGAAAATCGGAAAACTAGCTAACTACTCTAGCCTTCTATCTCTAAAAAAAAAAAACTAGTTTACTTGGCCCTTTGTCGAACCTGGTATCAAGGAGTGTGAAAGCTAAAATTTGAAGGCACAGTATCGCTATGCTAGACGCTACACTTCCGTAAACGTGATTAATTGGGTCCAACCTGATATACATATTACATAAAAATCAAAAATCAAAGTTAATTAATTAATCTAATCTAATCAAGTCTGAAGTTAATTTTAGATTAGAACAAGTAAAGAAAACACAATTTAAGTGCCTATGGGATATTAGATATACTAGGTTAGACTCCTGCTATTCACGTTTTTTCAAAATCAAAAATTTAGCAATTTCGCATAAGAAGAGAAGATCAAACAACTCTAATAATAATTGATATTACCCTTGTAAATCATTAAAATAAAAAAATTAATCCAATAAATTACAACAAAATAGAAAGATATTTGGAAAGCGAAAGGAAAAAAAAGTAGATCCGAATAATTGAATAGATTTAAGCTATAATAGATGTAAAATTTCTGTGCAGTAAAAAATATGGTTGAATACTTGAATTTAGTTTTTTTTATTATTTTTTGTATTTGTATTTTTATACTTTAAATTTAATTAAACAGAAATTCAATGTATCATATTACTCCATAATTTACAGTTAAAGAATCAATATTATGGCTTATAAAAAAAAATGGAAGCTTAGGCGGAGAAAAAAAAAAGAAGGAGAAGTTGACACGTGTATAGCCTGGGAGGAAATATGATGTAAACGGTTATTACTTTAGTAATAGTTATAGATTATTCATTGTCATTTTAAGAAGAAAAAAAGTGCATTTTGAAGGAACTCAAGGAATGAAATTGCATGAAAAGAGAGGAATGATCAAAGAAAATTATGTACGAAGTATAAATTGGTAGTAAAGAAGGGCTTTCATTGACTGAATATCTAAAGGGCACAAAGCCACAAATAATACGTAGTAACAACTTATCCGAACTATAATCGACTTGTATATGGAATGATGATCTTGTCACTTGAATATTTCACATCCGCTCTACTCTTATATCATACGGAGTAGCATCTTAATGACCTGCAAATAATCTACGAGTAAGATGAAGTGACAATACATCATATGAATACCCTCCCGATAATTAGCTTAGTATACGTAGTACTACTACTCGTATATAGCAATCCAAAGTACAAGATAAAACCAATCTTTCAAACCACATTCATAATCATACTAGCATTGAAAAAAAATTAAAGGGAGATCAAAAGATAAAGGCATAACATGTACATTATGTGGCTTTATGCATCATCCAACTGATCATTACAAATTGTATATACAGACATTAAATTTTCCAAAATCTTTTCCCTTCGATTTGAGCCTCTGACTAACCAATAAAATCAAACTGCACCAATATATTATTACAGATTTACAGTAGTAATTTATGCTTTAATCACTCCTATAAGATAATTATTCTTTCGAGTAAGAAAGTTTCCTAAAACGTATTTTTTTTTAATCTATAACAATCAAACAGAATTTTGCCTTCTTTTTTGATTGATTATTTATTCATATCACCTTCTTCTTCTTTAAATTTGCAGTACTTTTTGGCAGGACTTTTAAATTTTACAGTTTTGCATCTTTTTTTTCTTTTTCTTTTTCTTTTATCATATATTAAACTTGTATACGTAATATATACATAGTAATTAGATCAATTGTTACAGCTAGTGTACAAGCTTTAACTTTATTTTATCAACTTTATAAAAATGTCTAGCTTTATTAACACAATTCAGGTATGATGCTTCTTGGGATTATATTCGTTGGATATCTGAATCTAAAGATTTAAATTTCAAGTTGCATAAATTCTATGTTTACATGAATGGTTAGCTTTGAACCTTTGTCGTTGTCTCTTTGATGTTACAACTATCTATTTTAAATCTCTTGTTTTTTTATGTGTTGCAACCGTTAATTTAGGATCTTTTTATTAGGTAAACTAACTGTTTCGAGTGAAAACAATGGGACCTTGTCGAAGGTCCGATGAAGTGGAGAAGACTAGATTCGATCCAAGTAATGTTGGGCCGAAGGTTTCCTGCACAGTAAACACACGTAAACTAGCCTCGGGGGTGTTGCCGAGGAAGGCCCCTCCGATGCTAAAGTCAGTACAGTGCGTAGAAAGAAAACACTATGCAAGAGAATTAGTTGCTTGAAGCTTTGCTTGAATGAATGTACAAATGTAATATTGATGGCTTTTATACCTCTGCATACATGGAGAAGTTGGGCCTTAGCCCCATTGGCTTGCCTTGAGGACTGATCTTTGACTTTAGCACAATTGGAGAGATGAACCTTGACCTTGGGCTTTTAATTGGATCATTTAATGCCTAAGCCCAATTGGACTAAATTGGACCCAAACAACTTGCCCCCCAGACCCGATTTGGAAGGATGACGGGTCGGGTTTGATTTAATCAGAAAAGGAGGGAAGTGAATGATTTAATTAATCCAAAAATTTGAATTTAAACCGTAATTAAACCGTAATTAATGAGATAACAACAGTTAAGGCGGATAATTGTGGAAGTTGGACGGATAATGGGCAGTTTAATCGCAAGGTCGTGTGTTTAACGGTTACTTAGTGGGGTATTTAAGAGAAATTGAAATGCGGACTCCCCGTATTCCCATTTCTGGAGATATAATTAGAGGCACGTCATCTCTCCTCACTTATTCACCAACACAAACCCAGAATCCTCGAGAGAACCCAAGAACCCGCATCAAAACTTCGCAAATTCCCCGAGCCTTAAGCTTAGAAACTGAGACTTGCCACTACCAATTCGTAAATCGGCAACTTTCGCTTCAGATTAAGGTAAATTCCTTTGATTTTAGTTTATTTTTCTTCGAATTTGAACTCCTTCCCTTTTTTTCGACTTTTTTCTTCGAAATTATCAATGGCAAGAGGAGTTAGGGGTAGAGCCCGTGCTCCAAGAAGAGCAAGGCCAATTCCCGATCCCAGGAACAGGATTGGGACCTGGAATGGACGAAGAGCAGAGTCTGACCCTGCTGAAGGGATCAGGGCGACTCCAGTTTCCTCGGCTCCTCCTCAGAGAACGGAGGGGCCGAGCGCTTCTGGGCGGGACGATGAAGTTCCCGCTATCCTTTGGGATATCCTTCCCGGGTTTTCAGAGTGGGAGGATTCCGAAGTAGCTTCGGCCATGATAAAGAACCGCCCCTACTCATGGTGGGTGGAGAATGCTGAACAGTATCGGTTTGCCGAACAAATTGAGTTGCATTACGGCATCCTTGAAGCTGATGGGTATTGGTGCCGAATGCCCGTGTCATCCGATAGAATCCATCGTCCACCCCCGGGGTATGTGGGGGTGTACACAAGACAACTTCAGTATGGGCTTAGGTTCCCTTTGGACGTATTCGTCCGAGACTTGCTGATCCATTACAATATTTCCCTATGTCAGCTAACTCCTACTAGCATCCGAAGGGCGATGACATACTTATGGGTCTGCAAGTTCTTCAGGTATGTGCCGAACCTGCACTGCTTCAAAAAGCTTCATCGGCTAGTGCCAAATATTCAAAGTGGGCACGGAAGTCATGGTTCTGGGTGGTACCGGATTGAGTCTCGGCCCCAGTACCTAACCATGTGACCGAACGACTCTTCAGACAAGGACTGGAGAGGTCAATGGATTTGGGTTAGAGCACCCACGGACCCGGGCCACCCTTGCGTCTTCAGCGCTCCCCGGTACCTTGCTGAGCCTGATCCCGACATGGGAAGTTAGGTCCCCCCGCAGATAACGGCCCAGATCCAAACCTTAATCAACAGAATATCTTCGGCAAGCTGCCGAACCGGGGGGGCAGCGGCCGAATGCAGCATATCCCGGAGACTTGGCTCCCCGATACGCATTATGTTTTCCAAGAGAACATGCTAGCAGCTGTCGGCCTCAGCCGAAAGTTTAAGGATGGTAAGCTTCTTCGGCTGGGGCCGAGGCTTTTTAATTATCTCTTTTTCTCCTCTCACTTCGCTTTTTTATGCTGTGCCAACCTAACTGAACTGACCTTTCCCCTTTTCTTTTTCAGAGCGGGACGAGACCAACGTCGGCATTAACTACGCTCGTCTTGGCGTCAACCGAGAACGAGTTGTAACTGATCGGGCCCCCTCTATCACTGAACCGCGGCATAGAGAGGTTCATCTAGACTCTTCCCACTTCCAAATTGAGGTTGTTGCTCTGTATCAAAGGCAGAAGCCTTGGTGGAAGAAGAGAGATCCCTGGTTTCAGCTGCTGGACGAAGAAGCTGAAGCTGCCCGTACGGCCGAAGAGGTTGCACGGGTTATTGAAGCTTGTGAAGGAGGAGAAGGGTCCTCCAGGGCTGCTGAAGAAGAAGCTGCAGCTAGGGCAGCTGAAGAAGACGATGCTTTGCTGAAGACCTCGGTGAGCTTTCAGACTTAATTTTGTCTGTTTCTGTTTGTTGTTTTGTTTTTACTCACATTCTTCCTCCCCCCTTGTCTTTTACAGTTTGAAGAGAGTAATAGACACAGAGAAGGGAAAGCCCCTATTCGTCCCGAAGACCAGATACAAGAAGAGTCCTCAGACTCAGACATGGACGAGCAGCCGCTTCAGAAAAGGCGCCGAAGAATGGCCATCATCGGCCCCCATGACTTTCAGCGGAGGCCGATGACCATCGGCGTCGAAATAAGGGAACCCGAGGAAGGCAATGGATCGCCGAGGGTTCCCCGGCCACCACCTCAATCACCTCCAAAGACCCCTCTGCCACCTCCCGAGATGGAGGTGGATCAGAAAACTCCCGAACCTAAGGGAGGGGTCCAAGAAGAAGTTCAAGAGAGTGCTGCTGAGCACAAGAATGAGGATGTCGTGATGCCCAATGCTGAGGGTTTCACGACAGA